CGTGGCGCGACAGCGAGGCGGGCGCGCGAGGTCGGTCGGCCGAGCCGCGGTCGCGGAAGGTGGCGGGCGGCGAGGCGTGGCGAGGTGGGTGGTGGCGCTGCTCTCGCTGTCGATGAAGGTGACGAGCGAGGCGCCCGAGAGGGCGAGCAGGTCGGGCTGCTGGGTCGCGGCGTCAAAGACGTCACCCAGCTTGACGGGCGCGGCCGGGGAGGCGGCGACCGTCTTGAGCAGCTCGAACCACTCGGCCGCAACGAGGTTCTGGCCGGCCTCGAGGGCGACGCTAAACACATTGCGGGGCGCGCTGCCGGCGCCGAGGAAGGCGTCGCTAAAGAGCGAGCCCATGACGTCCTCGTAGACGAGGCCCGACGTCGAGCCCGAGGGAATCTCCTCGAGCACGTGTAGGCTCTGCACGGTCTCGGGGATGGCCTTGCGCAGCTCGGCGTCGCTCCAGGGGCGGACGACCTTGACCGAGAGCACGCCGATGTTGTGGCGGACGGCGGGCGGCAGCGTCACCAGGACGGCGCGCGCCGACTGGCTGTGGGAGCCGTTGGGGACGACGAGAACGGCGGTGGCCTTTGCTGGTCCCGTGTAGTGGAAGTGCTCGGGCGCAGCGACGGCGGCGCCCTTCTGGGGCACCGAGAGAAGGCCGACCTCTCTGCCGGCAAAGGCGCCGTCAAAGACGTGGACGACGTTCTTGGCCGACTGGTAGGCGTACTGGGCCGAGTCGACGGCCTCCTGGCGCGTCGACGAGAAGACGACCTCGAAGGCGTCGCCGAGGGCGGCGGTGGCGGCGAGGACGGCGGCGTAGTCGTTCTTGATGGCCAGGTCGTCGTCGGTCGACTGGCTAGCGGCCGAGACCTGGAGCACAATCTTGCCGGCGTCGGTGGCGACGTCGTCGAGAGCGGCGAGGGTGGGAGCCATGGCGACGAAGCCGGCGGCGTTGGTCAGGGCGGTGACGACGCGGGTGGGGCCCGACGACGACGAGCCCTTTTTGGCGCCCGAGAGGTAGCCGACGATGGCGTTGCCGGCTCCCGAGCGGGTCTGCATCTTGAAGACCTTGGGCCTGCCCTGGGTCCAGCCTTTATCAAGGGCCTCGGCGGCCTGGGCCTCGCTGTGGGCGCCGAAGCCGCCGTTGGCCTCGCTCTCGTAGCTGAAGACGGCGGTGCTGTTGGCGTAGGCGATGGCGTCGATGACGCCGGTGCTGGTGGTGTTGGGGCTGGGGATGCCCGTGAGCCAAGCCTGTGCGGCGGCGTGCTTGGCCAGCTCGTCGGCCGAGGGGCCCGAGACGAGCGAGAGGTCGGCGCGGGTGTCGAGGTGGCTGACGCGGTTGAGGGGCGAGGGCTCGGGCTCGGCGTCGAGCTTGGGCTGCTCGTTGACGAGGCCCTTGAGCTTCTGGCCGCCTGCGGTGGCATCGGGTCCGCTGGGGGCGACGTTGCCCTCGGCCTGGGGCTTGGCGGGCTGGACGGGGCCGGGGCCCTTCTGGTCGACGGCGTCGAGAACCTGGGCGAGGGGAGGGTCGACGCGGCCGGGGGCGGCCTCTAGGGCGGCAGCGGCGGCATCGAGGGTCTCCTTTGCCTGCTTGTCGTTGTTGGAGGCAGGGGCGACAGGAGCGGGCGAGGCTGCGGCCTTGTCGTCGTTGGCGGCCGGTGCGATGGCAGCCGCCTTTGCCTTGTTGGTGGCGGCGTTTGCGGCGTCGGAGAGCTTCCTCTTGATGGCCTTTGTGGGCTTGTGTGCGGGCGCAAAGGCGTTTCTGGAGAGGGCGAATGCGCCAGCGCCGATGGCAAGGCCACCTGCAAAGATGGCAGCGCTCTGGTAGAGCGACTGGTGAGTGGCGGCCATCGTTGGGATCTCCTCTGTTGGGGGGGATCGAGAGGGTGGTGGTGGTGGTGGGAGAACGACGATGGGTGGGAACGGTAGCGCACCCTTTGGCTGGGAAGAAGCTGGCGCGGGCTTTGCCAAGCAGAAGGCTGCCATGGGCCCGCCGTACGACGAGCGGCGAGTCAGGTCAGCGCAGCCTGGCAGGAGGACGACGAGCAGAGCAGCGCAGCGTTGCCCGCGCGGGGAAACGCGCCGAGGCGGCGGCGAGAAGAAACGCAAAGCACGCCATCCAACCGGCCGCTCACGCCAAAAATCCAAAACCTCGCCTGCAGCAGCTGCGCGCCTGCTGCTGCTGCTTTCTTCCGGTCCGGATCGCCGGTCAGACCCTCTTCCGAGATGGCCACGAGGCCAGGCCTCGGAAAGCGGGCAGCTCAAGTCATCCAGCGGCCATTGGCGGATCCGAGGTTGGGGATCCAGGCCAACCTTTTCACCCGTCTTCCGAGGTTTGATCAGCCACCCTTGCCTGCCAGCAGCCAGCCCGTGATGCCAGAGGCCGGCGGGCGTTCAGGGTCCAACCAAGCCCTGCAGCCTAGCCTGCAGATAGAGAGGTACGTACGGTTGGCGGCGGCGGCTGGGCGGCGGGCGGTGCAGCGCCTCGCTGCCTCTCCGCTGGCAAAGAGAAGAAACCGCACGTCAGCGGCCTGGCCCACGAAGGATGCATGGTGGTTTGGATCTCTTCGCACCTTGTCGAGCAAGGCGCATTCCAGCAAAAAAGCAGACCGTACCCGCTGCTCATACAGACCATCGTCCGGCCTGACAACGGCAGCTGCTGCTGCTGTACCGTGGCGCAGTGGGCGCAGCTGGTACTACTCTCCCGCCCGTTGCTGCGAAACCGACTCAAAAGGGCGCAGCGGCACGCCCTTTGGCTTCCATGCACCTCGTCGCGGCTCCGGCGTCCATCGTCAAGGGCCCTCGCCCCTTCCTCCGCCCCTCGCTCCTCGCAGCCATTGTCATCGCAGCCTCTCGTCGTCCCTCAGGCGTCGTCGCAGAACATCAAACACGTCGACCACCACCACCACCACCACCACCACCATCGCTACCGCCACCAGGAGCGTACGGCCAAGAGCAGCCGCCATCACGGCCTTTCAAGTCGCCGTCACCCACCTATCAGACCTCCAGCAAGTCGAGGCAACGCGCTCACTTCCTTCGTTCGTCTCGCTCACCGCCTGCCAGCCCTTGTCCACGACAATCCATGGCAGGCCAGATACGGCCTTGAACCGCCAACTCGTCCCTGCTTCCAGCAAAGATCAGCGCGAGGAGCGGCGGACAAAGAGGCCGCTGCCTTCTCTGAGCCTGCAGTCTCCTCTGGCTGCTGTCAAAGATCACCGGTCTGCTCGTCCTGGTGCGACGCCGCTGTAGGCACAACGGCCGGCCTGCCGGTGAGGAGCAACCTGACCCTAGTCTTGGAGTCGCGGGGCTGCCCTTGACCGAGCTGCCACGATGCCCTATACCACCGTCACAGCCGCCGTGAGTGCTGCCTGGCATCCCGACCTGACGGCTTCGAGTCCGCTCTTGCCTATCGGACCCCACCAAATACTGACGGTTCCGCACACCCTTTTCCTCGTCTTCTGTCACGTCATCGCTTCGAAATTGACCCATGATCAGATCACGGTCACGCCCAGCTCAAGCCCGACCGTGGTCGTCGTCACTCAGACGCTCGCCGCTTCCGACCTCTCGCGCTTCTCCATCACGCCCACAGCCTCTCCCGGCGCCGACGCCTCCCACTCGAGCTCGCTCTCACCTTCGCCCTCGTCGTCGGCCACCAGCACTGAGAATGGCGGCGCCAGCAACTCAGCGCTCGTCGGCGCAGTCGCAGGAGGCCTCGTTGGCGGGTTTGCCTTCTTCACCCTCCTCGTCGTCATGGCCTGCCTCATCCGGCGCAGGTCGAAGCGCAAAGCAGGCGGTCCAGGCCGCGGGAGATTCAAAGGCCAGCGTGTCAATGTCGTCGGCAGCTCGCTAGGTGGCGCCGCTGCTGCCGCTGCTGCTGGAAGATTCTCAAAGGAAGGTGCCTCGTTCGTGGCACGGCCCGGTCTCTATGCCAGATCGGGACCTCACAGCCGGAGCGACAGCTCGGCGCTCGTCTCGCTCATGCCCGCTCACGGCGCTGCCTCGGATCACCATCACGGTGCTCACACTCCTTCGTCCTCTATGGGCAGCAACGGACCCCGCTACAGCCTGCTCCCGTTGCAGCCAGCGACGGCAGGGTACCAGTACGTCGATCCTTATGCCCATGACATTGCCCCCGCCTCGGTCGCCAACCGATCCGATCCAAGGCTCCCCGCTGGAGTCTACGAGCGAAGCTCGAGCCACTCACCGCAGCCATCGGGCCAGTCAAGGGCATCCTCGGCGCATTCGATGGCTCGACTCGGATCCGAGGGGTCTGCATCGATGGTTGCGACCTCCAACCCGGCCAGTCGGTCCAGCTTAGCCCTGAGTCGACCCCTCTCAGGTGCCACCTTCGGTCTCGGTCCAAGGTCGTCAGAGGCTCATCGTGGCGGCGGTGGCGGTGGCTTTGGCAGCGCCGGCAGCACTTCGGATGCTGAAACCCGTCGGCCGGGCTCGACACAGTCTCTATCGCTGCCCACCTCGCGCTGGTCTCGCCCGAGCTCGGCGGGGAGCAGCAGCCATACAGCACAGCCTCGCCCGCCCTCGGCCATTCTTGGCTCGCCCGCCTATTCGACCTCGGCGGCCGCCTACGCGATACCGACCCCGACGTTCGGGACGTTCCGCGACCAGCAGAAGCCACCGATCAATGGCGAGAGCGAGATGATGCAGAGGACACCGTCCTCGCAACGTCCCCCGGTCGCCGGCCTGCCGCTTTTGCCTTCCAATCTGTCGACAATTCAGGGCTCCATCTCTGAGGGCACGATGGCGACGACGACAACGACGGACGGGTCAGACAGCCTTCGGCGGGACAGCAACGTCTCGGGAGCCACCGTCCGCCAAGGTGAGGGAGTTTCGAGCGTGCCGAGGCTGCCTTCGATCCCCGCATCGAGCCCTCTGATCGTCCAAGGCTCAGCCTCGCCGCCGAGGATGAAAGAGAAACAGGACGGTGCATCAGGCGCAATCGCTTCGACCAGCGCCAACCACACCGCCGGAACGTACCTTTCGACGTCGAGCGGAACGCCGTCCAGGGGCACGGGCGAGGGCACGCTCGAGAGCTTCAACACCTTCACGGGCATGAAGAAGTCTGACCTGCACGTCGTCGGCACGCTCTCGTCGCAGAACTCGACGCTGCCGCCAATCGCGGCGCACGACGAGGCCGAGGAAAGCACGGCGGTGGACGCCAACACGGAACGGTGCCTGCAGGCGCCTCCGCCGCACGAGAGCTGGAGCGTCGACTCTCAAGGCCTGGAGTTCTGGCTGAGGTCCGAGGGCGACTCGAAGCCCAAGTCCGCGTCGAACGCCAACAGCCGCCCGATGCAGCCCTCGGTGGCGACGGGTGCGCAGCCTGCGGGCCGACACACTAGGCCCGCGCACGAGAGGGCGTCCAGCGGGACTCAGGGCAGCCGCCTGATTGAGATGTTTGAACGGAGCAGCGCTGGTCACGGTCAGGGCGCCACCAAGGATCCGCTCGGCGCTCAGAGCAAGCCTGAGACGTTTGCGCCTATCCAATCGCAGGGACAGAATGTCGGCAGCCTCTCGTCAGGCACAGCGGCACCGTCGGCGTCGGCCGCGGCGACAAGATCGCCACATGGGTCCGATCATGCTTCGGACATGAAGCCGAAGCGTGGGTCTAGTTCACCATTGCACGCCTTGGGCTTGCGTCTAGGCAAACCTGCCAAACCCAGCGACACTCCCAGCAGCAGCGCCCAAGCCGGCCCGGCGATGCCGGCTCTGAGCCTCGACGATCTGCCGCCGTTGCAGGCCAAGCGGCCTCTATCCAGTCAACCCTCTGCACCGCTCAACGAGAGCGAGCCGGGCGCCTCGCACCTTGGACGGTCCAAGAGCAGGGAGAGCGGCGACCTCCTGGGCAGCGACTTTTTCTCATCGGCGACGTTCGCGCAGCCCTTGACGATCCCGGCGCTCAGCTTTGACGGAAACAGCGGCCTGGACCCACCCGCGAGCCAAACTGGTTCCGGCCAGGCGATGCAGGCAGCTGTCAAGGTGACACGCTCGCCTCTGGGCGCTCTCGGCCTCAACTCGACTGCGACTGCGGTGGCACCGCCTGCTAAGGGGGATAGGAAGGGCAAGGCCAAGAAGGACGTCTCGAGGTCCAATGAGATCGACATTGACCAGCTCTTCTAGATCCCGATGTCGAGCATGTCTCCTCGTCTCGATTGTCGATTCGGGTCCAATCCCCTTTTCTGCATCGTTGCATCCTTTCACAAGCATGGTCCCGGTGCTCTCGTTGCCATCGCTCTCGAACCTCTGGACATTCCTTCATCCATCCATCCGGCCATCCATTCATTCACTCGCTCATTCTACAACTCCTGTATTCTAGTCATCCGATCCGCTCGTTTTCGTCCTCTCTCCGCCCATTCTTGCCCGCAATAGAGTCAGGATCTCGTACCACCGAGCAGTCGTAGCTGTGCGCAAGCGAGTGAGAGGCGGTCGGATTCAGCGTACGTTCCGCTTCGGTCCCAGGGGCGTTACTGCCACGTGGTCGGGCAAGGTACCGGACAAGGGAGAGGCGAAGAGGGCACGTACGGCACGACGAGGTTCGTACGAGAGCAGGGGCTTCCAGGCGCAAGCGGGGCAAGCAGGGCTAGAGCCGGGGCCCGGGGGGCGGGGGGCGGCGAAAATAGATAACGCAGGGTCGGTCGACGTGGGTGATTTATCGGCACGTTGTGATTGGTCGGATAGCCAGGCCTGCCCTGACCGGCTTGCCTCGCTGCCACGCTGGAAAACCACCTGCCATCTCTCCTTTCCCCGCACAAGACAGGACCATCATGAGCGAGGCTAGGATGCCTGTGGTGGTGCTATACACGATGCGTTGTGATCACCTGCCAAGACCTCACCACATGCCGATCTTGGCTCAGCCTCGATCCATCTACGCCAGAACGAAGTGTTGGCGTCCACGGCGCAGATAGACGTTGGGTCTTTCGTCGGACGCGAGCGAGAGCGTGTCTGTGTGGCCGAGTCGACTTTTCAGCTCTTATCGGGCTCGCTCGACGCCTTATCTCGCTGCCCTGCATCACCTCAACTCACGGCACGGCACGGTACGGTACGGTGAGCGGATCGCCAAACCCAGGCCCTGTGGCTACGTACGGTACTAGGCCGCTCTCCGGTGCAGCACCGCTTATCTCTCGGACGTCACGATGGCCCGAACGCCTTGGGGTCCATTTTCGTGGCAACCCCCGCTCCGTCCTCTTCGTTGCTGACCGAAAGAGGCGGTGCGAGCTGCTGACGGAGCGGTTCGTCGCTCCTCCCCCTGCCTTAAGGTGGCAAGCAAGGATGCAAGACGCCACACGGTTGATGGGGTTAGAGCTGTGATGAATGGACGTGCTGCATCAACCTATTCAGTGCGACCTGGCAGGAGTAGAGGCTGTCGAGTGAGTGGCTTGCTTATGCTACCGGTAGCTAGAGTCAGGGATGGCATCCTTCGCGCTTTGCCGTGTGGGCGGTGGATGGCGGTCAGCGGCGATCAGAGATAGAAGTGAGGGTGCGGGTGCGGGTGCGGGTGCGGGCCCGCGTGCTGCGGACCTAATCTCGACGTGCTTATCTCTGCTCGGATGGCACGCGGCCACCTCAAAAGCGCATCTCGACGCTGTCTGCCGATCCTCCCCTCTCTCGCCCTGCGCCCGCCTTCTGCCTGCCTAGAGGGATCCCCGCATCAAAGACCACGAGCCCCGCCGCCGCCGCCGTACCCGAACCCAGAGTCAGGAACACCGACGTTCGCCTGCGCAGCGATAACGTCCCGGAAAGAGACGGAGCGTAAGCCAAGCAAGCAGCCAGCCAAGATGAACCACGAGGCCGAGCGTGGGGACGGCTCAGAGAGAGATAGCGGGCGTTGAGACAGCGCCCCTGCCCGCTCCCGTTCGGCTCAAAGGTTGCCAAGAAGCTTGCTTGCCTGCCGACTCGAAGGGAATCTGTTGTCAGAGTAGTCAGAGCTCAGAGGAATCGCGATGCGTATGCGAACCCCTTGTGTGGTGCGTGGGCCATGCTAACAGCTGATAACGGACCGGCAAGGATCGGATCGCTCTGACAACCCCTTGCCTAGCTTGCCGTTGCGGCAGACAGAGCGCTACCGGCCGCTCTCGGCCTCACCTTCCGCGACTTCATCGGACGGGGGGCCCGGTCCCCCCTCATCCGGTCATGGTGGGGTTGCCCCTCTGGCCTTATCGCCCAGACCATAAAAGGACCCACGCCATATCTTTCCCCTCTACCTCTTGCCTTCCCTCCCCCGTCATCCCAACCAACCTTCCCTTGATCGCACTCGCGCCTCGTCGCTGCGCCCTCGCTCGCTGGCCCATAGCACCTCTCCTGGCCACCCCGGCCGTCACGATCTTCCACCTATCGGACACCCGCCCTTTGTCCCCTCTGGCATCGACCCACGGCCAATCAACCCCCCGCTAGCGCGCCGCCCATCATGGTCAACTCGACCTACACGCCAGAGCACAACCTGGTGACGCAGGCCATCGTCGATGGCGAGGCGACCGACATCATCTACAACCTCGGCGACATGGCGTGGATCATTGTCGCCACGGGCCTCGTCTTTATCATGATCCCCGGCCTCGGCTTCTTCTACTCGGGCCTCCTCCGGAAAAAGTCGGCCCTCAGCATGCTCTGGATGTCGATGGTGCTCCTGGCCATTGTGTCGTTTGAATGGTTCTTCTGGGGCTTCTCGCTCGCCTTTTCCACGGGCACCGACAACCCCTTTATCGGCGTGAGTAGTCATGCGTTGCGTCGCGTGCCCACTCGCCCTCGCCCTCGCCCTCGTGGGACCGCTGCTGACCCTCCTCGTCGCCTCTCGCCATCCTCGACGCGCGCAGAACCTCGACAACTTTGGCCTGATCAACGTCGACATGGGTCCCTCGACGGGCGGTGCCGTGGTGCCGCAGCTCCTCTACTGCATCTTCCAGCTCATGTTTGCCGCCATCACCGTCGTGATCGCGTGCGGCGCCTTCGCCGACCGCGCCCGCCTCGGTCCCGTGATGCTCTTCGCCTTTTGCTGGACGACGCTCGTCTACAACCCCATCGCCTACTGGACCTGGAACGTCGGACGCGGCTGGTCGAGCAAGATGGGCGGACTCGACTTTGCCGGCGGCACGCCCGTCCACATCTCTTCGGGCACCGCCGCCCTCGCCATCTCGATGTTCCTCGGAAAGCGCAAGGGCTACGGCACCGAGGCCCTCGCCTACCGCCCGCACAACGTCAGCTACGTCGTGCTCGGCACCGTCTTTATCTGGTTTGGCTGGTTCGGCTTCAACGGCGGCTCGGCCCTCGGCGCCAACCTGCGCGCCGTCCAGGCCATGATGGTGACCCAGATCAGCGCCTCGGTCGGCGGTCTGACCTGGATGTTCTGGGACTGGCGCCTGGAGCGCAAGTGGTCCGCCGTCGGCTTCTGCTCGGGCGCCATCTCGGGCCTGGTCGCCATCACGCCGGCCTCGGGCTACGTCGGCACGCCCGCCGCCGTCGCCTTTGGCGTCGTCGGCGGCACCGCGTGCAACTTTGCCACGGGCCTCAAGAACCTGCTGGGCTACGACGACGCCCTCGACATCTTTGCCGCCCACGGCATCGGCGGCATCGTCGGCAACCTCCTCACGGCCTTTTTCGCCGACAGCCGCGTCGCCTCGTTTGACGGATCCACCCAGGCCCCGCTCGGCTTCATCAACCACGAGTGGATCGCCATTGCCAAGCAGCTCGCCGACTCGGCCGCCGGCTTCGGTTGGTCGTTTGCCGTCAGCCTCATCCTCCTCTTTGTCATCGACCGCATCCCCTACTGCCACTTCCGCTCCAGCGAGGACGACGAGACGCTCGGCATCGACCTCGCCCAGGTCGGAGAGGAGGCCTACTACATCCCCCTCCCCGTCGACCTGCCCGCGGGCCACCACGCCGAGGCCGACTTGGTCTCGAGCAGCGTCAAGCACATCTCGCCCGCCCAGAGCGAAAAGGAGTTCCGCGAGCATCTCAGCGACTGAGCGGCCTTCCCTCGTCCTCCTCCCTGGCCCCGCATCGGACAGCCCTGGCCCTTGCGTTCGTTCGTTTCCTGTCTCCTTGTGATATCCCTCCCCGGATCGGGGCCTTCTCACTTTTTAACCTGTAATATCAAGCCCCCTGGAAGGCACCTTGACAAAGCGACCCGGGCCGGAAAACTTGTCATCGCGCCGCACAGCTCTAGGCCAAGGTCACTTCTCTGCAGCGCAGCCGCCTATCTGACCAACTGACAGGAGCTGAATCGACCTCGTCATTCGGCGCAGAAAGTCGCGCGGCGCAGCTTTTACTACTGAGGTACATCTTGGCGAGGCGTGTATGGTCGGGTCACAGCGGGCATTCTTGGGTTGCTGAGTCGAAGTGCAGCGAGAAAGAGGAAGCGTCCGTTCGGTGACCTGGTCGCGGTCATGTATGGCTAGGTGCCGAGGCCGTCTTCGGCGACGAGCCTCGCGCGATCGTCCATCAGGGGACCTCGATCGTGTTCAGCGATGCCGCGTCGGTCGGGCAGAGGTCCAGGACCGAGCTCGGGTAGGGCAGCTGCTTGATGGCTTCGGGGTGGATGACGACGGCCCCCATGAAGCCGCCGGCAAGGTGGAAGGCGATGTGGCAGTGCATGGCCCAAACGCCCGGGTTGTCGGAGAAGACGCGCAGCACCGCCCACGTCTTTTGCGGCACCACGATCGTGTCGCGGCGCGGAGGGTTGATGGTGTTGAAGCTCTTGGTCTTCCACTCCTCGACGGTGAGGTTGCCGCTGCCGCGGCCGATGATGTGGCTCTCGACGCCGTGGAGGTGGTAAGGGTGGTCGATCACGTCGGTGTTGACCAGGATAATGTCGGCCACCCATACGTCGTCGTTGAAGGTCATGCTCGTGATCTGGGCGGGGTTGATCGCGCCGCCGCGGTGGACCGACTCGAGGAACGGACGGTTGATGTAGTTGACGTACGAGGTGCCGTTGACGAAGAAGCGACCGACCCTCTGTGTGGAGCTGATGTTCATGAATCCGAAGCCGGTGATGAACTTGCCAACCTATTTGAGGGAGCGAAGCGAAGATCGGGCAGGTCAGTATCCACGCACTCGTCGGCCGGCATGGCACACGGCCTGAATGCAAGCGAACGAGCACTGCTCAGCCACCTACCCCGTCGGGATTCTTGTTCTCGGGCACGGTCTGCGGGATCAACGGCGTCAGCAGGTCGTCGCTGTTTGCATGTCAAGTCCAAGGCGTGTCAGGAGCAAGGGCCGTGGTCAGCAGAGTTGCGGCGCATCGTTGCCGCAAGGGGGCGCGCACTCACGAGAAGTCGACGCAGCCGGTGTTGTTGCTGTTGTTCATGTCGCTCCAGTCGCGGGGCACCGGCGAACTGACGGGCTCTTCGGGGAAGAACTGGTACTGCAGCGTGAGGTTGGCCGTGGGGTCGAGCGCCGGGTCGACCACCGCGAAGCACGACGTCTCGATGAAGGAGCGCAGCAGGAACGAGCTGTGGCGAGGCGAGGAGCGACAGAGGCGGCGCTGTTCCTCAGCACCGTCGTCGAAGACACTCCGAGCCAGGCGAGCCCCAGCCAACACTCACTCTCCAGGCTCGCCGACGTCCATCGTGACCAGGGCGTCGTAGCGCTGGCCGTTGTGGAGCGGGATGCGGTGCACCGACTGCTTGAAGATGGGCGTGCCATCGGCGGCAATCACGTCCAGCATGTGGCCATCGATCGAGACGTAGTTGAAAGCATGGGAGCCTGCGTGCGAATGAGGAGGAGCGGAACGGGTCAGGTCGGGTCGGTACGAGAAGAGCGTCAATTTCAGCGCTGACTGGCGGCAAATGCCGCGTGTCGCGCCCGGCGTCCTGCTCACCTCCGTTGATGATTCGCAGCCTGTACGTCTTTCCCGGCACCACAGACCTGGTCGGAGTCTTGAGATCGGCGCAGCGTGACTTGTGCTCGGCCATGGAGCAGCTGTGAGGTCGCGTCAACACCCAAGGCCCGGCCGCAGACGAAGTGGGACGGAGTCATCGAAGCGCCGTCAGCGGCAATGCCACGGCATACCATGAAAGCGACCGACAGAGACACGCGCGCCGACACTCACTTGAACACGCCGCGGCCATTGATCAGGGCGCTCTGTGGGCTCGGCGCCGCTGGCGTTCCCTTGTAGCCTGCAGGCGACAGCATCTCGCGAACGATCTTGTCGGCGTAGTCGTGGTAGTTGTCGGCCAGGAGGATGATGATCTCGTCGTCGTAGTCGCGGCCCTGCTGATACGGGTCGTTGGGCGAGTGGACGATCAGGGGTCCGTAGAGGCCGTCGGTGTACTGCACCGCCTCGTGCGAGTGGTACCAGTAAGTGCCAAACTGGCCCTGGACGCGGAAGCGGTACTCGAAGCTGCCTCCCGCCGGGATGGGACACTGTGTGAAGCCCGGGATGCCGTCCATGTAGGGCGTCGAGTTCTGGAACATGCCGTGCCAGTGGATGCCGGTGCCGACGTCGAGGTGGTTGTGAACCATGACGACGATCTCGTCGCCCTCGTTGCACTCGATCGTCGGTCCAGGAGCTTGGCCGTTGATCATGATCTGCCGTTTCTGTTGAGGTTGAGGGAGCAGGCGGGGCGAGCAAGGGGTTGATCGCGTCGTTTCCGGGGCCGTCAGCTCAGAGATTTGCCTCGGTGGCGTGGCCTGCATCGTCGGCAGCGATGGCTCTCTGTAGCTGAGTTCCCCCCTTGAGACTCACCGCGTAGCCATCTGGCGCTCCGTCAGCATAGTGGATGTTCCAGTCAAAGTGGTGCGTCTTCGGTCCTCCCGCAAAGCGTCCCTCGCCGCCGGGGCCCTGCACCACGGAGACGTAGCTCGCGTTGAGCACCTTTCCGAGGCCCTCTTCCAGGCTCGCGACGGGGTTGGGAGCAGAGTCGGGGTCGTTCTGCTCCAGCTGCTTGAGGTGTGCACCGGACGCCTTGACCTGGAGCTGGGCGACGAGCGGCTTTGACTGCGGGGCGGTGGCCGGCCTTGCATGGCTCGTGCCGCAAAGAGCTAGGCCCAGAAGGAGCACGACGGAGAGAACGGAAATCGTGGACCTCATGGTGTGCGGGTGAGATCGACGGCAAGAGAGACAGGGCGTGCTGTATGGCAAAGCCGTCTGGTCGGATGGAGGGAGACAAGGACGGGGAAAGGACACACATCGAGGCATCCCCTTAAGTAGGCTGGGCCGCCACCCGCTCCGCCACTCACCGGCTTTCAAAGCCAGAGAGAGGGAGCTGACCGTGCCGCCTTGTTCTCTGGCATACGGTCATGGGCCGGCCTCATTGAGTCGCTGGCCGTGATTCCGGCTCGGAAGGTGGGTGAGGAGGAGAAGCCAGGCCATTCAGGCAACGATGCACATGCCTAGACTGGACCGGCCCACCTCGCGGCCCAGGGGACCGGTCGGTCGCAATCCGAGCTACCAAGCGGCTGCCTGCCTGCCTGCACCCTAGCCTGCTTTGTCTCGATAGGGCGTAGCCGGGTCGCCACCAGCGCAGTAGTATCCTAGCTAGCCCTTCCGCGGCAATTCCCTTGCCTACCTGTTGCGCCTCGGCGAGACATTCCAAGGCCCTGCTCGGCCTGCTGGCTGTGGGAAACTCGGAAGGCTATGCGGTCCCGTCGGCAGGTCCCGAAACCCCCAGCGCGTGATGAGCTTTGCGGGCACTACTGCGTGCACACCCTGCCCCCCAACCTGAGCTCGGATCACCGCCGACAATGGAGGCGGTGGCTCCTATCGTGGTGGGGGGGTTGGAGTGCCTGGTGGGTGTCGTCCTCTACGCCCACAGCCGTGGTATAGCATGACAATGAAGCAGAGAGAACGATGTGCTCGTGGTCATCGGAGTGGCCGCGCCTGCCCCTGAGCCAGGCCGGTGGATAGACGGCGCAAGGCGGGGCACAGCTTCTCCAACGAGGGGGCTTTGCGACCAAGCTGGGAAGTTCAACGACGTCCGTCCGTCGGGCGCCGTGGACAGGGCTGAGAGGTTAAAATTTGATGAAGGGGTTTTATTACCGGTAAAAGGAAGGCGCGCTGGAAGGCGGACCGAGTTGGCGTCGACAGCTTGGGACCTGCATGCATAGGCCCGGATCTCGAGGTGGGGAGCAGGCAGGCCGGCCGGGATCGCTTGCCTGCAGCGGCCACGCCGTACGTATGTACGTTGCTTGGGCCCCGACACACTGCAGGGGCCGGAACAAGGTTCGGCTTCGCCGGGCCTTGGCGGGCACCGCCGACGGCTGGCTGCATGCGCTTGTGCCCACGCCAGACCGCCGACGGCTTGCCTCGCTGCTTGTTTAGCTCGCTTGGTCTCGGGCTGTGCGGTGCGGTGCGGTGCGGTGCGGTGTGGTGCCGGAGCAGCCTTTCGCGGAAGCGGTCTACGCCGGAGCTGACAGGGCCAGGTGGTGGATGCTCGGAGCCTCTCTGATAAGCCTTGACCTGGACCGAGCTTGAGGGGACCGCCCTTGCAAATCTCGGCCTCGTGGCTGTCCTAGCCTGCCATTTGGCCAGACGCCCCGAAGAGGACCGAGCGGGGGCCGCGCGACTGGGATCGACAGAAGACAACAGTGTGGGAAAAGCTTGTTGGGACCCTATCGGAGCAGTCCAAGTGCTCACGGAGCACATGCGACGATGTAGGCTGAAGCGGAGAAAAGAAGCGGACGGCGAGAGAGCCATATCATGCACGTATGCGTGGTGACAAAAACAACGCATGCGCCTCAGGGTCAGCTCGCGAAGAGGCAGCAGTAGACCGAGCAAGACATGCACGCCTCGGAAAGCCAACTTTGGGCGTAGACAGCCGAAGCGGCCCTGGTGCACCATGCGTCGATCTGGCCGAGGACCGGACTCACCTCCGAAAGAGTGTTCAGAGAAGAGCTTTTCGCCCCTCTCGAGGCCCCGGTAGAAGGTCTTGTTCCTTTCGGCTTTCTCCGTCTTTCGCAGGAGGTTTGCCATGCCTTCGAGTCCCTGATCGTCGTTGACCGTGCCGCCCGTGTGGCCGCCGTTGGGTTCGAGCGTCGGCGAGGTGGGGCAGGAAGGTGCAGAGTCGGTATTATCCTCGCTCGAGCCTGCATCGCCTTCCTCGACCACGTTGCTCGGAAGAGCAAAGACCTTGACCCGGACAAAGCCCACCTCTTCCATGGCCTCGGTTAGCTGAAGTCGCAAAGGGTGGGAGGGCAGCAGCGACGATGATACGGCAGATGACGCTCGTCAGCTCAGGCGGTCCGAGGGGCACCGTCGAGAGCGGCTCGAGACCCGGCTGATCGTACTGCAGTGCACTCACCTCTCTCAGAGACCAGATACGGAAGCCGTATGAGAAGACGTCTCTGCACCACGAGCCTGATCGAGACAGATGGCGTAGTAAGTGGATACAGGTTCAGCTCTAATTCTTCGCTCAATCCCGGACGCTCGGTCGTTTCGAATCCTGCGACCTCGGCAAGTCGACTACTCACCATCGCTAAAGCGGAAGCTCAGGCTCATCCGGAATCGATTCGTGAGCAGATCCACCGGGCCGTCTTCCCTCCAGTACTCGAACCCGCCGTGAGCCGAGCCCGTCCGCACCATCTTGAGCTTGCCTCGAGGCCACTCTGCCCGCGTGCCGATGTCTTGGGGTTTCGAGGGGGCCATCACTTCCAGCACCTTCTCAGCCTCGTTGTCGTCGTCGTCATCGTCGTCGAGCGGTGCGGCTCGTCCTGCTCCGGTCCGTGCCGGACCGCCGCCGACGCCGACGGCGCTCGACGTCTTGGCTGCCCTCGGCTTGGTCCGATCGGCCTTTAGGACCACCTGCTTCTGCCCGTCGCCGCCGCCCCGTCCGAAACCGATCTCGTCGCGAAATCGGGACCACAGCTCGTCTTGGTCCTCGTACCTCTCGCCCGTCGACGGGCCAGCAAACATGTCGGTGATGAACACGCCCGTCTTGGGCCGCAGCGTACGCAGCGCCATCCGCAAGTAGGCGAGGAGCGTGGCGCGGTCGTGAAAGTAAGCCATGGCGTAGTTGAGCGAGGCGATGATGTCTGGCGGATCCAGCGCCATGCTTCCAGCATCGCTCGACTGCTCCGCACCTGGCGCGGGCACCGGGAGGTCGAGCACGTCGCTGTGGAGCAGCGTCATCCGCGGCCTTGGCGCCCTCGAAGCGGCGGTAGAGGTTGATGGGTCCTTTGCCTTCTTGGCCAGCTTCTTGGCCTCCTTCTCGAGCTTCTTGGCGAGCTTCCGGTCGAATCGCTCGGTGGCAGCTCCGGGCGCCCAGGTACTCGAGCCGGTCGGCGGCAGGTCTGTCGTTGCGTCCGCCTCGCCGTTCGCAGAAGAGGAGGCTGCAGCATCGGTGCCTTGACCTGGAGATGGCTCCAGCTCGATCTTTCGAGTTCCCTCGGCGGTGGAGCCCGCCTGCTTGGCAAACTTGGGGCTCTGAAGCAGGATGACCTTGTCGGCGCCGAGCCTCTGGTGCGTGTGTGCGAGGGCATCATAGTCGATGTCGACGCCCTGCGACCGGTTGCGCGGGTCGAGCGCTAGCCAGGTCGATGCAACGATGGCTGGAGGCAGTGTACAGAGAAGAGACGGAGATCGCGACCAGCAAGACAGAGACGTGTCAGTCAGTCCAGCCTTTTTAGGCTTCGTCGTCGTCCGCCGCGCCTCTGCCTACCGCTCACCCGTGCTGCAGAAGTCCTCGCGAAGCACTCGCGCCTCAGACCTGTCGCTGTCCTCCAGCTGCGCATGCGAGTAGAGGCTGTCAAGGTTGCCGCATTCGACCACCGGCTCTTGTACGGCCTCCTCGTAGCACCGCAGGATGGGCGCCGTGGCCGCCAGCGGTGCCCTGCCGAGGTGGTTCGAGCTGCCGTCGGCGGCTTTTCGATCGTCGTCGGCCGAGGACGGGCCCGGCGACCAATTGGGCCGAGCATGAGCGAAGGGGTCCGGAAGCATGGCGGGTCGTGGCTCGGCACCTTTTCCTGCTGACCTCCTGGCTCGGAGCGATATGTCAAGTGGGCCGGATCGAGGGCGCTACCGAGCTGGCAAGCCGGTAAGTCCGAGCGAAGGCGAAGAGTCGGGCGCTGGACTCGACGAGGAGCGAGGACGGTCGGTTGAGATCGACTAACGTCGGTCTCTAGAGGGGTGCGAAGGACTATATGATGAAGGTGAGGGTGGGTGGACGAGCAAGGTATGGCAGGGGCTAAAGGTTCGACTAGGGGAAAAGGCACCGAGGTCGGCTTCTGTGGAAAAAAAATTCCGAGGCGTCGGCGACGGCCTCGGGCTTCGGAACAGGACCCTCTTTCTTCTCGACATGCGGGGGAGGCACGGTGCGGTCCTGTGGCAGCGTGGTATCGACCGACGGGCCAGCCATCTGGATGCATCAGGTGACGGAGCCACACGCTTCAACAGCCGTCGGGCTCGGACAATCATAGGTACATGCAGCTGACATCTTGCAGACTCTCCCGAGGAATGGGTCACTCGCCCAGCTTCCTGCCGGCGGCGCCCCACTGGTGGCGCTGCTGCGCCGCCTGCTGCTGGCGCCTCTCCTCTTCCGACGACGAGTCCGGCGTGGGCGCCTTTCGTCGCTTTTCCGCCACCCTTCCTCCCGAGCTCGAATGGTCCTCTTCGCCGTCCTCTGGCTTTGCGCTGCTGTCTCGCAGCTGTCCAAAGCCGATGACGTTGCCCTGGCCGGACGCTGCTGCTGTCCGCCTCACCGCGGCAGAAGCGGATGGGTTCGAGGCGCGAGCATTGACCGAGCTCGACGAGGTGGCATCTGCGTTGGACCCCGCCGGTTGCGGTCGAGGCACCTGCGCGGTGGAGGCCGAGGACAAGGACGAAGAGAGGTTGCGGCCGACGATTGAGTTGGCTTGCTGCGCACGCAGTCTCCGTTCCGCGGCCGCCAGCATCGCCTCGCGGTCCGGTCCTGTACCAGCTCTGGCAGAAGTGTCCCTCGGCCTCCTCCAGATGCCGAGACCGTTCCAGCCCGGCGAAGGAATTGATCTACGGATCGAGGTCCAGAGACCGGGCCCCTGCTGTCTTGCGACACCGTCTCCGAGCCGATTTCCCCTCGTTGCAGCGTTCCAGGCTGTGCCGGCGCCGGTGCGCCTGCCCTGACGGTCGCCAATGTTCTGCCCTGCCATGCTAGGATCCTGGCTGTCCGGAAGGAGTCGGCGCAGCAGCGCGGGCGTTTCGAGGAGCCGGGGTCCGCGGCCTCCATTGGTGGCCGGCCAGATCTCGGCAAGGAGCCAGTAAAGGTGCGCCGAGATGATGCCGGTGCCCGACTGAATCATCAGCGAAGGTCCGCCGCGGACGAGGTCGAGGAAGAGGTAGGCGTACGGCAGCCAGGGTGCAGGGATGGTGATGAATCCGAAGAACGAGACGCGACCGTCCGGGTTGGTGCGCGACCAGAGGTAGGTGAGGGCGTTGAGCATGGGGCTGAAGAGGACGGGCGACTGGAGCGGGTAATTTGTGGCGAGGATGGCGGCGCCCATGACGATCAGGCTCCATGCATAGTCGGCGGTGCGACGCGCAAAATGCGATAGCTCGAGATCCGAAGAGTTGCGGCTGCAGTGCAGGGCGAGGACAGGGACAGACAGGTCAGACAGGGCGAGACAGGATCGAGATTGGAGGGGAGGCAATGCCGAGGGACTCACAAGAGGAGGAACGAGTCGAAGAGAAAGGCGAGGCCCTGTCCGCCAAAGAAGAAGGAGGTGAGGATGCGGTATATCTCGTACCTGCGCGTGACGAGGGGCCAGCTGAGCATGATCTTGTAGGGCGTCATGATGGCGAGGAGGCAGGGGATAGTGACGAGGCCGGTGGCGCCCAAAAGGGACCGGGTGACGGGCGGAATCTTGCGAATCTCGTCCATGATGTCGTGCGTGGATCGCGGTGGACGGGAGCGCCAGAGGAGAGCGGGGAGACGGACGGGCTGCCGAAGGTGGTAATGGTGGTGGTGACGGTGATGGTGGTTGTGGTTGAGGTTGTGGTCGACGGAGGCTCCCCCTCCCCCACCATGGATGGGCCAGGCCATCCTCTCCACGCCTGCCGAGTGCCGACGTGGCAGCCCGCCTTGGCTTCTTCGGAAGGCGGGCAGGACGGCAACGAGCCGGCTCGAGCGCCCTGGCCTCGCCCGCGCACGACCCCACCCGCAGCCAAAAAGTGGAGTGGACCCCAAATGTCGAGGTTGCTTGCACGTCCGCTGCTTTCCGTCTTCTTCTTCTTCTCTTCCCCTCTGGACCCAAACCGAGCCTAGCCGCACTCTACAACGCCGACTCGACAATGAGCGACGCTCACAGCGCTCAGGAGCCAACGCACCTGCTCGACTCTTTCCGCCTCGAGCGTATCCTGGACCAAGGTGAGCAGCTCGCACCCCTCGGCTTGCTCGGACGCGGATCAAGCATCGATTGACCCTCCGCCAGGCACATCCACTCGCCCGCCTCACACGAGCTCCGACAGATCCCAAGCAGAAGTCGGCCAACCTTCTCGGTACACTAGAGCACGGCGATGCCTCACAGCCGCAGCAAGCCATCCTCATCCTCGAGAAGACGCACTTCTCCGAGGCCTCCTTCTCTTGCATCGGCCGCCACACACGTGGCAGCGACAACGGCGAAGCTAGCAGCGAACCACCCACCAAGAGCGCCAAGCTAGACAAAACACACCCTGAACAGCATGGCTTGTCGGCATCTGCGCGCGGCTCCCTCCTCGAGAGCGTAGCCAACCTCGGCCAGAACGACATCTATACCTGGCTCCTCGCCTGGCTTTCGCCATCGTCGGCACCCGACGGACAGCGTCGCGATGCCGACGTCAAGCTGACGCTCATTTGCCCCGCAACGCAGACGCACATCGACAAGTACTCTGCCCAGCGCAAGCTGATGGTCTACGAGACGCCGCAGATGTACACCGACCTCGTGCTGCCCTACATCGAGTCGATCCCGCCGTCGCGGATCCAGTGGGTGTACAACATCCTCGAGCACAAAAAGGAGGCCGACACCATCCTCTACGAAGATCCGGACCCAGAGGCGGGCTTCATCCTCCTGCCGGACCTCAAGTGGGATCAAAAGACGCTCTCCTCGCTCTACCTCCAGGCAGTCGTGCACAACCGCAAGCTCAGGAGCCTTAGAGACCTCAAAATGGAGCACGTCGGCATGCTGAGAGCGATCCGCGATCGAGCCACGCAGGTGGCTCGAGACAAGTACGGGCTTGCTGGAAGCGAGGGGAAGGACGGGACGCTGCGGTGCTTCATCCACTACCAGCCAAGCTACTAGTGAGTCCCGACCTCGACCTTGCCGTTGGCTTGCATCTAGCGAACACCGTGCTGACCTCAGACCACCACGCCGTCCTCGTCACAGCCACCTGCACGTTCACATCCTCGCTTCGAGCTACACATCGCATCCCGGGTCGATTGTCGGCCAGGCGCACCTGCTCGAGGATGTCATCGACCTGCTGGAACTGGGCGTCGACTTTCGGCAGCGCACGCTTGGCTACGCGCTGGGCGAGAACAGCAAGCTGTGGGACGTGCTCCGTCCAGGTTCCTTGTAGGCTCCGTGGCTTCGGGTAGAGAGATGATAGAGGCATGCTTCGAACGTATCTGCATCTCCCTTGCTCGCCCGTGATGGTCCCGAAGAGGTCATGTCCAGAAGGCAGAGACCGCTGTCGAGGCCACGTGGTGGAGGGTGGGTTCAAAAGTCCGGGAGTCGGGCAGCAGGCCCCCGGCCACGCTTTTTCTGAGCCTGGAAAATTTCGGGGAAGCCCAGACCCCGCCCTCTCGAGTGCAGCCTTGCCTCGCCCTCCTAACCCCCTGTGCCTCGAACCCCACTCGTCATCCTCGTTCTTTTCACCACCACACTCTTTCTCTCCACGCACACACAGAACCCAACGATGACAAGATACACCAAGCTCGGCTCGCGGCGTGAAGTGCCGGTCAAGTCTGGCTCGCCAGGACCGGACCAGGTCGACGCGGACGATGTCGAGGTGGCCGCTACCGCCCGCGTCGAGCAGGCCGAGGAGGCAGCCGAGTCATCGTCCTCCTCCTCCTCATCTTCCTCTTCGTCGCGGTCCGAATCTGCACCAGACACGCCAGCTTCAGCACCTGCATCGCAACCGACAAAGGAGGAGAACGGGGAGGAGGAGGTCACGCCGAAACCTGCTCCGACCGCCGCCACCGCAGCATCCGACGAGCCGGTCAAGCCAAAGACAAAGGAGCAGCTGCTCAAACGGGCCAAGCTGCTCAAGCTCAAGGCGAAAAAGGCAAAGACGCTCGAGTCGAAGAAAAAGTTCCTGCGGCAGGCGTGGGACCTGGAAAAGGAGAGCGACCAGCTCTCGTACCACTCGAGCGCCAACAAGCGCTCTCGCGACGATGGCGCCGGCGGACCGTCGAGCAAAAAGGCTCGCCACGGCGGCGCTGGCGATGCAGCCGTCGCACCGGGGGCGGGCGAGGCGAATCCGTGGAAGCGGATGTTTGCGGAGCAGCAGTCGGAGCAGATGGACAAGAGCGAGGCGAGGCGGCTCAAGCGCATCGAGGAGCGGGCGGCCAAGGTCAAGTGCTTTGCCTGCCGCGGCATGGGGCACGAGGCGCGCGACTGCCCGCAGGCCCTCGACGCCGAGAGCAACCGCATCGGGGGCGACGTGACAAACGACAGCGTCGCAAAGGGCATCACGGGCAAGGAGACGGTCGGCATCTGCTTCCGCTGCGGCTCCACGCAGCACACGCTCAACAAGTGCAGGAAACCCGCCCCCAAGGTCGGAGACGACCTGCCGTTTGCCACCTGCTTCGTGTGCGGAAAGAGGGTGAGTTTCCGCCCATCCCGCGGCCATCGAGACGTTGGGTCTGCTCCGGCGGCCTCTTTGCTGAACGTAACACTCGCCCCTTCCTCTGACTCTCTCTCTCTCTCTCTCTCTCTCTCTCTCTGCCCCCCTCCCCTTTCTCTACGCTTCAACGACGACAGGGCCACCTCTCGTCAAAGTGCCCCTCGAACAAGGGCCGAGGCGTGTATCCGGAGGGAGGGTGCTGCAAGCTCTGCTCGAGCGTCGAGCACCTGGCGCGCGACTGCCCGCTCTCGCTGCGCCGCGACCCCAACGCCGGCGCGGGCAACACGGCGGCCCTCATTGACTCGGTCCAGCCCCGGCCGGGCGCCGGCGCGGGTGCGGGTGCAGACGAGGACCATTTCCACTCGCTCGCGCGCAAGAAGCTCGAAGTCGAATCCGACCTCGCCGCTTCGCGCGACGCCAAGAAGGCAAAGGAGGACAACAAGAAGGCCAAGAAAAACAAGGTCGTCACCTTCTAACTCTCTTCCTTCCCCCGCCCTGCAACCATGCCTCCTTTCTTCCTCTGTCCATTCCATGCAGCTGCTTTCCCTCCGCGGGGAGAGACAGGCCGCAGCTGCGTCAGACCGAACCGAGACAAGCAACGCAGCGACGAGCAGCTGGGAAGGAAGTGCGAGTTGTGTGTTTTGCAAGTCTAGCCCCGCCCGCCAATGTCTAGAGCGGGCGACGTTAGAAAAAAAGGAGCGCCGGGAAAGCGTGCGCTCAGTACCTATACAGAGATGGGGATGCGCGGGATTTTTCGAGGGCCGTCGATGGCGGCCGGGTGATGTCGATGCCGAGGATGGAGCGTTGAACGAGGGGACCGGGGGGGGGGGGGGGGTGGAGCGCAGCGCATGGTGGTGGGAGTTGGAAGGACGGCGCGGCCGCAGCAGGGGGAAGGAAAATGATTATAAAAACACAGAAGGAGAAGAGAAAAGGTCGAGAGAGGGGGTTGACCGAGTGGGCCGAGTGTCGAGTCCATCCGAGATGGAGTCGGTGATCCAGGGAGGGCAAGGCAAGAGATGAGAGGGGAGGCAAGGGGTCGCGTTTAGGACCTGCAGTTCCGTCCGATGAGCATCACAGTCAGCCAGCGAACGTCAAAAAGGCCAGAGCAGGAAAGGAAGGGGACGGTGGGCGAAGCGCCGCTACTCACATCTTGTACTCCATCCTGCCCTTGGTGCCGGCGGCGCCCTTGACCTCGTAGTCGATGACAATGTCGAGGTCGCGGTTGTTCTTGGAGTTGGGCTGACACGAGAGGCGGCCGGTGATGGCGTCACCCTGGCTGACGGTGAGCATGTCCTTTGTGTAGAAGACGGTCTGCTTCCAGTGCGTGTAGCGCGAGTGCGGGCCGGTGGAGAACTTGACGGGCTTGTGGCAGGCCTCGAACGAGATGTCGAACCAGCCGAGGAAGGCGTGGACGTAGTCGTTGCGGGTAGCGTTGAGGGTAAAGTCGGAGACAAACGAGAGCTCCTCTTTTGTCACGGTGGTCAGGTCGAGCTGCTTGATGGGGCAGGGGTCGCAGACGACGCTCTTGAGCTCGACGGTGTCGACGAGCGGCTCGCGCAGCGCAATGTCCTTGATGCACGAGTAGTTGAAACCGTAGACGTCGTCCCAGAAGCCGATCTTCTCGTCCTTGTACTCCTGGTCCTCGATGGCCGAGAGGTAGAGCGTGGCCTGGTCGGGGAAGAGCTTTCCGCCGGGCGCGAGGTACTTGTCGCGGGCCATGAGGACCGTGTCGAGCATCGACTCGTAGAGGAGGAAGTAGCCCATCCACTCGCTGATGATGATGTCGACCTTGCCGTCGGGGCCCAGGCCGAGGTCGACCTCCTCGAGCTTGCCCTTGACCAGCGTGATGACTGGGGTGAGTAGCGGATGATGCCCAAGGGGTCAGTACGTGGAGCAGAGCCTCTGCAGGGAGACCTGGCGTAGCAGCGCGATGCTGCCGATGCTCACCATCCGCGAAGCCGTTGGTCTCGACAATGACCTTTGCCTGGTCAATGATGTTGCTCATATCGACGCCAATGACCTTCTTTGCGCCAGCCTTTGCGGCAAACATGCAGAGGATGCCGGTGCCGCAGCCGACGTCGAGGACGACCTTGTCCTTGAAGAGGTGCGGGTTCTGGATGATGGCATTGCGGTACGAGAGGGTGCGGACCTCGTCCTTGAGCATCTCCTCGTGGATGCCAAAGTGGGCGTACGAGTCGGCGTAGTAGTCGCGCGAGGTCATGTCGCCGGGGATGGCGCTGCTGGTGGCGCCGTTGGAGGTGGAAGAGGAGGCCATGGTGTGCGGGTGCAGGGAGGGGAGGGGGATGGGTGCGGAGGTAATGGTGGTGGTGGTGGTGGTGGTGGTGATGGTGTGTGGCTGCCGCCGCAACTTTTTTGCTCTCCTCTCTCTCTCTGTGTGACCCTCGCTGGTGGGTCGCACGCTGTGGCCACCGACCGCTCTGTGGTGGCCCTGCCGCGAAGAAGAGGAAAAAATCCCTGGAAAATCGCCCCGTCTCGAATTTCTGTGCCGTCCCACTCGACCGGCTCTGGCTGGCTGGGGCAAGCGCCGCGTACGTCGCTTCCGACTTCCGTCGTTTGGTCGCAGGATCGGGGGTGGAGGCTTCCCGGTCAGACAGGCAAACCTGGGCCTGGCTTGCCAGCGTGGCCAGGCCACCCCAGCCCAGCATCCCCGATGGCCGACCTCGGCGATGCGTGGCAGGCCTGGCCTGGCCAGCCAGCCACAGGCCAACACCGAGACCAACAGCGGGGCCAGGCCGAGGCCGAGCCCGAGACGAGGCGGCCACAGAGACCCTGAGGCGCCACGGGCCCTTCCTTCTTGCTCGCCACCCGGCGCCCCCTCCATCACCTCCTCACGGCACAAACGGACGCCTCGATACCACGACGGCTGGACCGCGCAACGTGACCGCATCCAGACCCCGCAAGTAGGAAGGTAGCCACAACACATCATACCCACCTTTTTCCGCCGTTCTTCCGTTTCCTCGTCCGCCCTACCGCCCGCCATGAACTCGCTCTACAACCAGGCGCTGCGCCAGTTCTCGTCGATCCAGAGCGACCTATCACGCCTCGACTCGGATCCACACGTCACTCCCGCCCAGTACGGCCCCGTCACGGCCTCGCTCACCGCCCTCACACGCACCATCGACGAGTACGAGTCGCTGGCCAAACGCGAGCTGATCCAGTCCAAGCAGGAAAAGGCCCTCGGCCGCGCCGCAAAGTTTCGCACCGACTACAAGGAACTCAACAACCAGCTCGCCAGATTGAAGCAGAAGGCCCTCGATGCGGCGTCCGGTGGCGGCGGCGGTGGTGGTCCGCACAGTCCGGCGGCGGCGAGAGCGGGTGCGCAGGGTTACAGCACCGCCTCATCCTATCGCTCACCCACCTCGACCGCGGCGGCCGAATCGCCGTACAGCCTCCACGCCCGCGGCACATCGACCTACGGCGCATCTCCTTACTCGTCCGGATCTCCCTACGCACCTTCCGGCCTCGGGCCCAACGGAACCTCCTCCTCGAACGACCCGCTGTCAGCCTACAAGATGAACGCCTCGGCCGCGGCCATGTTCGGCGGCGGCGGCGGGGCCGGCGGGTACAGTGCGAGGGAGGGCCACGCGCTGCGAGAACACACCTTCATCGAGCAGACCGAGGCGCAGCTCGACGCCTTTATCGCGCAGGGGAGAGAGGTGTTTGGCAACCTCGTCGAGCAGCGCGGCATCCTCAAGGGCACCCAGCGCAGGCTCCTCGACGCCGCAAATACCATGGGCCTCAGTCGCGACGTCATCGTGAGTTCCAGACTGTCGCCGAGCCGGCCGCGAAGGCCGCGGCGGATTGGCTGACTGACGCCGCCTTCGGTCGGGCGTGGCTTGTTCCTTCTCAATGGCCCCTTCGCCTCGCTGCGCTGCGATGATCGCGCAGGGCTACATCGAACGTCGCAGCACGCAGGACAACATCATCTTTGCGGTGGGCGCCATCTTCACGCTCGTCTGCTTCTGTGCGTCGAGGCAAACCCGGAGGCTGAGCCTCCGTCCGGAACCCAGTCGCAAGTCGCTGAACCCGGGCGCGCTCTGTCATCTGCCTCTGTCCTTCCTCCTTCTCCTCGCCAGATTACATCTACAAGTGGTTCGGCTGAGCCCGGCGGTCCCCGCAAGACGCCCCTCATGCAGCTCGTTTTGAGGCCGCGTCCTCCTTGTACATTCCCCCCAACCCACCGACGTGTGGCCCTTGTCCCGCTCGACGAGGTCAGCCAGCCTGATAGAAGGCACACCTTTGATACCATGAACGTCAAAAGTCGAGCGGCCGCTCGACGCCGGTTCCGACGCAAAACAAGTAGGGCAATGCATTGAACAGGGAGCGGGACCGGACAAAGTGACGTGGACACGACAGCTCATCCTCGAACCGCGAGCAACGACGGTTCGGGCCGAACGCCACGCCGACGAGCGACGGCGGCGCTGCGACGTGGCGCCGTTACTTCCTGTACCACAGGGTCGACTTGCGGTTCCTTCGGATCTTCTTCTGAAGCTGCATGAAGCCGTAGAGGAGCGCCTCGGCGGTGGGCGGGCAGCCGGGGACGTAGAGGTCGACGGGGACGATGCGGTCGCAGCCGCGGACGACCGAGTATGAGTAGTGGTAGTAGCCGCCGCCGTTGGCGCACGAGCCCATGGAAATCACCCAGCGGGGCTCGGGCATCTGGTCGTAGACCTTGCGCAGCGCCGGCGCCATCTTGTTGGTCAGGGTGCCCGCGACAATCATGCAGTCCGACTGGCGCGGCGAGGCACGGAAGACGATGCCCAGCCGGTCCTGGTCGTAGCGCGCGGTGGCGACGTGCATCATCTCGACGGCGCAGCACGCCAGGCCGAACGTCATCGGCCAGAAGGAGCCCTGTCGCGCCCAGTTGGCCATCTTGTCGAGCGTGGTGAGCGCGTACTCTGCCGCGGCGAGGGGAGGCGAGCGAGGAGAGAGTCAAGGTCAGTCGACAGATCCTGAGGCTTGTCGTCCCACACGAGCACACGACAAGGGCAAAGAGACCAGGCATGCAGGCTGGTCGCTGCACGCCGAAAACGCCGCGACGACACTCACCAACGCCGTTCTTGGGCGTCTCAAGGCTCAGCTGGTTGCTGCCGCGGTTGGCGACCGAGGTCATTGGTGTGGGGTAGGTCGAGGGGGCGGCCTGCTCGGCAGGAGCCGACGAGGAAATGGAGCGAGTCGAAGGGCCAGCGGCGGCGGTGCGGCTGGACTCGGACGGGGCGGCGACGAGCTTGGGCGCAGAGGCGACCGCTGATGTCTGGACGGAGCGAGCAAAGTTGAGCGAAGGGTTCGCTCGGAGGCCTGTTCGAGCATCGTAGCAGATCGGAATACAACCGAGATGTCAGAATGTGAGGTTCCGAAGTCCGGAATCAGAAGGCCTCCTTGCGAGCTGTCGGACGATGGCGGATATCGTGGGTGGCAACTCACCGAAGCGCGCCACAGGGGCGAGACCGGCGCGGAAGGAAGCCATGGTGCAGAAGAGTGGCGGGTCTGGCGGTATCAGAAGGCGACCTGGGAGCCTTGAGTCTGTCGGTGGCGAGAAGAAGAGCGATGGTGATTGTCGACGAGCAGGCGGTGAGGGCGCAGGTGACGGTCGAGAGGGATGGAGAAGCAGTAAGGGTCCACCGGGGGAAGATGGATAAGGTGGTGTCGAGCGTGCAGGTGGCGGCGAACAGCAGGTGGCGGCGGCGGTGAGGGCGGCGGCGGCCCCCGGATCCCAAGAAGGCGGCCAGCGGCGGCAGGCTGCGAATTGCTTACAGCAGGCCCAGAGGGCCCGCCGATTACAAATGGCCTCGGCCCCGACGCTGCGCGAAAGGTGATCGCAGGGTCGAATTCATTTTGCAGCCGCGGGCGTGCGGCCGGGCGGAATACAGATCCGCGGGCCAGCTGGCTTGCCCTAGAGCTCGTTCCGCCCACCTATCGGCCGAATGAGCTGGTCCCGCGACCCCACACGCTGTGCAAGGCTTCGACTTCAAGCTCCGTTGCAAGACCCATGACGATGGCGACGGCACGCTACGATACGAAAGGCGGGTATACGAGACGCTAGAGGACACTGGGAGCGAGGGAAGCGATCAGCCGTTGGCGCCGACGGCGACGGCGAGACCGGTCGAGGACGCCATGCTCTCATAGAAGCCGCCCGTCTTGAACGGTTCGGCCGTGACGCCAATCGACCATCCTTCAAAGAAGTCGCCCTCGGCGTCGATGAGCGCCTGGGCGCGAGCCGAATCGGTGCCGTAGCCGTTCATGTTGCCGACGTCGGAGGCGGTGGCGGCGGCGGCGGTGTCCTCCTTGGGCAGGTCGTCCTCGTGCCACTCTGCGTCCATCGACAGCTCCTTTTCCGATGCGGTCGCCGGGTTCGACGAGGTCCGCTGCGCAATGTCGGCGCCCGCACCGAGGCGCTCGTCGGCCGTGTGGACGACGACGGGGCAGCCAAACTTGGCGATCGACTCTGGCGACAGGTCGTTTGTCTGCGGCTGGTGGTCCCTGTGGCGGAACCAGGCGCAGCGCTGGGTAAAGTGCTCCGGAAAGAGGCCCTTGACCAAGTACCTCGGTCGCTCGCGCGGGTCAGGGTTGCGGCTGCTGGGCATCGTCACCCGACCGGCCTCGGACCAGATACCGCCTCTGCGCTCGAGCGCCTTGAGCATCCGCATCATGTCGGCGCGGCCCGCCTCGTCGAGCTCCCAGCCAAACTGGCGGTACCGCTCCTCGGGTGACAACCTGCTGGCTTCCACCTGGATCTGAACCGCGCGGTCCTGCTCGGCGGAGCTGACTCTGTTCATCTCCTTGGGATAGGGGCCCCTTGTCTCGAGCAGCCGGCCGGGAGGAGGAAGCAGGTCGAGCGTGGCGTAGACCATCCCGAGCTTGACGTGACCCGGCGTCGTGCCGGCGGGCGACTCGGCCTCAACGCTCTTGGCCTTTCCCTTTGACATATCCGCGTCCCTGGAGCCATCGCCCGCAGAGGAGGGCTTCCAGGCCTTGAGCCAGCCCAGTGCTCCGCCGCTCCCACTCCCACTGCCGCCGCCGCCCTCGCCCTTGTCCTGGCTGCGTGCCTTGCCCTCCTTTCTGTACCTGGCACCATAGGTGAGGACGGCCTCGCCGGGAAAGATGGCCATCTGGTCCTTGATGCCGGAGCCAAAGAAGAGGGCCGAGAGGACGCGGTCGACGAGCGGCCGCGACACCATGCCGGTCAGCTCGGGCGACATTGCGGCAAACATGGTAAACATCCTGCCGCGCTTGAGGCTGGGCTGACGCGCCATCAAGGCGGCGCCGTCCTTTGGGTGCGGGTGGAAGAAGAGGGCCTTGACGTCGGCCGAGGTCGGGTCGGTGTCGAGGTAGTGGAGCGGCAGCTGGACGCCGAGGCGGCGGTTGTACCTGGACACCTTCTGGGCGACGCGGTTGTGCGAGGCCGACGACTCGCCGCGCGCGTACCGCGCAGGCAGGCCGATGTTGCAAAAGGCGGCCGGGTGCGGCGGGTAGCCCTCGTAGAAGGCGAAGAGGGTGCAGTGCAGCAGGAAGGGAGGGAAGGGCTCGGTGACGGCCTGCGGGGCTTCGTAGGACTCGTGCGCCAGGATGGGCATCTCGAGGCGCGCCGTCGTCGTCGTCAGCATCGAAAAGGCGTCCGAGTCGCCCCGCAGCGTTTCGCCGTCCATATCGCCGCCGCCGCCGCCCCTGTGCGCCGTCATGGTCGCGCGTGTCCAGCGTCGAGGAGAGGAATCGGAGGCGTGGCGCGGCTGTTGCCGTTCTGAGGCTGAAGGAAGGTCGTCAGACAATGGGATGTCCAGGCGTCGCCCTGTAGCGTGTTGGCTCGTCCCTTTGTAGCCGCAGTGAGCCGGGGAGGGTCGTCGACGGCCTGCGCGTGTCCGCCGCTGTTGAAAGGCTGGTAAAGGTCCCCGTCGAGTGAAGTCAAAGACTGGATGGTGGTACTGGTCCAAGTCTATGTGATGCTGCTGCTGCTGCTCGAGGTCAACAGGTGGAGCGGCCTGCGTATTGAACGGAAGGCACAGCCCCGCTCGCCGTGCTCCGATGGGGATGCAAGAGGAGGTGACCAGCAGTGGGCTCCTACGGGAAGGACCCGCCCGGAGCATGTAGGGGGAAAGCAGCGCCGTCCCGTCTTCGGCCCGGCCTGGATGGTTGCCCGAGACCCGGTTGTCGTTGAAGGGCACCTGCTTTCTCGCACGAGCGGGCGAACCACCTTCGAGACCTGCGTGACTCTGTCACCGTGCAGAGTTGACGCCGGCTGCCCCCGTCTGGACCCTGCGCCACCGAAAACATGTGAGAGGCAGGCTGGGCCTGCCGCGCTGCGCGCGCTGTTGCTTGGCCGCCAGCAACGACATCCGATGCCATCGCCCTTCCCGAAAAGCCAAAGCAACCAAAGACAGGTAGGAGCCCTGCCTCTGGGCCCCTTGCCTGCTCTTTGTGGCCGCCATCGAAGCTGTACCATGACGGTACGCCGTGGGCTTTTTCCTGCCTGCCTGCCGCGGCAAAAGACCCGAGCAACTTAGCCTGCAACGGCGACGTCGCTCATCGTCGTCGTCGTCGTCGACATTTTTGTCGGCAGCGGCAACGGCATCGGCAGCGGCCAGATGGACAGAGAGCCACAGCGCAAGCAAGGCAGCCAAGCTAGGCTAGGCTGTTTGGGCGGGCTGGTCGTGGGCGTCTGACTCACTTGCCACGCGACCATCAGGGCCCAGCCCCTAGCCACCGACCGGCCGCCGTATGACGTGGGCCTGCCCCTGCTGGTGCATCGCGCCCGACCGTCAGGCTGAACACGGCCGTGCGGGCGGGTATCAGCTGCTCTGGCTCGCTCGCGGAGTTGAGGCAGCCAGGCAGCGCTCGCTGTTTTGTCCGCCGTCGTCGCTGCTCCGCTCCGCAGCGCGCAGTCAGGCCGGCGCCTGCGGGCTGCCCAAGCCTAGCCGGCCTGCCTGTCCAGCTGATGACGCCGTCACACCCCTTCCAGCCTAGCCTCCTGTTCATGCTGCTGCTGCACCCTGCCTAGCCCTAATTTGTTGCCGCCGCCTCCAAGCCACCCGCACACCGGCGAAGGATGAAGCCACGCTTGTACGTACGGCAACCCGGGCGGGGGGCGGGCAGGTTGCAACGCGATGATGCGGATGGTGCGGGCGATGATGAGATGTTGCTTCTCTCCTCGACAGGCCGGAGCTGCTCGACGTCGGTCGGTTGGTAGCGGAGCAGGCCGGGCTCGACTCCAGCCGGTGACATCGTCCTAGCCTTAAGTTTGCCTTTCCAGGAGGGCTGGACGAGATCAAAGACATATAAGACGTCCGGATCTCGCTTCTTTCCATCTTGCCCCTCCATCTCGCCATCGACCTAAGCTCCATCGTCTCATTCATCCTTCCTCGACGAACGCCTCTAGCTTCGGCACACGAGCATAACATCCTGACCCAGCCCCAACCCCAACTCCAAGCCCATCCTTTCGAGCAGAGACTACGACCACCATGGGAGCCGTCGCATCCTGTCTCTCGTCGATCGTCTCGGCCATCGTCGGTGCCCTCCGCGCCGTATTTAGCGCCATTGCCGGTGTGCTCAGCACCATGTGAGTTTGACCCCCCTCCCTCTTTTCTCACTCTCTCGGTCCCATCCGCCTCGAGCTGTTGCTGATGGACTGCAACCTTTCCCCATCGTCCTGGACCCGACGCAGCGTCTCGGCCATCGGATCCGCCCTGATCGCCACCTTCAACTGCATCGCCGACGTCCTCTGCTGCCGCTGCGGTGGGCGTGGTGGCGGACGGAGGAGAAAGGTCTAGCTCCGCGCGCCCCGGCCCGCCCCAGTCACGAGCAACGCCGCTTCGGGCTCCGTTGCCCAAACGACGGACACAATGTGATTTCGACCGGACCCGAGCCTCCAGACCTCCCTACGCTTGAACCCGCACCCGTACGAACATGCATGCCTATACCCGTACTGTATCCGCTCTGTCTCTCCTGCACACACACGTATCGCAACGTTGAATCCATACACGAACCTCTGCAGCCTCTTCTTCATCGCGACTGTGGCACTATTGCAGAACGATCTAAAGGTTGCCGACGGGGCTCGTATCCCTTCCCTGGACACTGTGGAAGCCCTAGCCGTGCCGTGCCCCTTCATAGCTTGGCCGTGTTCACGTAGCCGTCGTCCTTGCTGGGGATCTTGCAGCTGGTTCCGTCCCATCCCTTGGGTCGGATTGGGTCGCCCTTGTCGTCAAAGTAGACGGGCTGGCCGCTGCGCAGGCTGATGGTGAGCGCCGTGGCGATCCTGGCTGCCTCGAACGCATCCTCGAGGGTCACGGGCAGAGGCAGACTGGGGTCGAGGCAGCAGTCGACAAACTCGCGGGCCTCGACGACAAAGGCGTCCTTGAAGCGTTCCCAGTAGGACGGGGTCGACTCGGATCGCACGCCGTGGCTGTCGAGGATGTCGAGGCGGTCGAGGCGCGGGTTGGCATTGACCACCAGGCGACCCTGGGTGCCGTAGATTTCGGCGACGCACTCGTGGCCGTGGACGGCGGTGCGGCCGAGGTGAAAGTAGAAGCTGCGTCCGTCCTCGAGCAGCACCGTGCCCAGCGCGTTGTCGGCGTCTCCGTACTGGGCCAGCTCCGGGTGGCGCGCATTGTAGCCCGACGCCGTGACGCGGTAGGGCCGCGAGCGGGGCACCTCGCCCTGAGCATTGCTTAGGCCGAGGAACCAGCGGGCGATGTCGATGTCGTGGATGGCGCAGTCGACGAAGATGCCGCCGCTCTTGAGGCTGTAGGGCACAAACCAGCCTCGGTCGTCGTACTGGTCGACGGTGGCGCTGCGGATGAGGTGGACGTCTCCCATCTGGCCCGCCTTGACGCGCTGTCGCGCGTTGCGGTAGGTCGGGTCGAATCGGCGGCTTAGGGCGACGAGCACACGGACGTCGGGTCGTCGCTTGGCGGCCTCGACGACCTGGACGTGGCCCTCGATGTCGATCGAGACGGGCTTCTCGAGCAGCACGTGCAGGCCGAAGTCAATGGCCTGGACGCACAGCGCGGCGTGGTAAGACGTCTCGGTCGAGATGCACGCGGCATCGAGGCCGGCGCTGCCAGGCGGCGCGCCCCGCTGGCATCCAAAGTGTGCGTACAGCTCTTCCACGCCGCCAAAGACCTTGGTGGCGGCGGGTAGGTTGGCGCGTGCCCAGTCCTGAGCGGCCTCGTTCGGGTCCACGACGGCGACGAGGTCCGCCTTGGGCGTTGAGAAGGCGAACTGGGCAGGGAGGGGCGATGAGAGCGAGCGCCGCCATCCCAAACGGTTCAGCAACAAGCTCACGGTGAGGCGCTCCGGAAACAGCAGACTGGCTCGACAGCCCGACGACACAGGGCCGACGCAGCTGCACCCTACCACTCACGTTGAGGGCGTGGACCTTGCCTTGGCGGCCTACGCCGATGGCCGCGACCCTAAACTTGGCTGGCGAGGCCATGGCAGAAGGTTGGAGCGCGGATACTGGGGGCGCGCGCGGATGTCAGTTGGCTCGGGGGTGGGTGAAGGCAGGCAGAGGTTGAGCTTCCGTCGATGCCGTCGAGCGTCGACTACGAGTGGTTCAGCACAGGAGCGAGAGCGGTGGCCACTTCGGCAGTGGTCCTCGCCCTTTCCTGCCTCTTATATACCATCTGACAGCCGCAGCAGCAGCATAGCAGCAGAGCCATCGTGTCTGGCTGGAAGAGGCTCGTTGGCTACGTGGTGCTCAAGCGCTAGGATACCGATAGACACCGAGCCTGCGCTAGACTTGCAAAGGGCGGCAGAGGGACGCGATGGGGGCATGGGCCAAGCCAAGAGAACGGGGCTTGAGCAAGCCGGCTAGCATCAAGGGAAACCTTCCTGACCCGCCATGCGCGATGGCCTTGCGGACGATGCTGGGTGGCGAGAGACTTGGGTGTCGGCCAGGCTGCTGGGAGGGGATGGTCTGGCCCTGGCTGAGCCCCGGTCTACAGGCAGGCAACACGACGCGACAGACGTCTTGGGACCCTGCCTGGGCCAGCCCGTCGGTACCAGGGCTTGCGGGGTGACAGGGCCCGCAAGACGGGCGTTGGGCAGTCAGCTCTGTGGGTGAAGTTCGGGCTCGACCGGTTGGGGCCGCACGGGTTTTTGCGCCAGTTTTGGGGAGCGGTCGGTGCAGCCAGGCGGGCTGGCCAGGGTCACGCCATCCGCGTTTGGCGAGGGGAAAAAGCGAATTCGGTCGCACGCAGTCGCACGCAGGCTGGTCTGCCCGCCGCTCGCCTCTGGTCTGCCTCTGGTCTGCCTCTGGCTTGCCAGCGGTTCGCCGCCTATCCTGGCTTGGCCTGGCCTGGCCTGTCCGCACGCAGAATGAAGGGGTCAGCGTCGTTGCCAGGCCCCCTTCTGGACCAGCCACCACCCCCTTTTTGCGTCTCGACAATTGGTTCAGCCCCTCGAACTTGCCGCCATCCGTCCCTCCACCACCTCCCTCATCCCCATTCCCACAAAACGCGACAGCCGCCGACTGACCCTCTCTCGCGCCTTTCGCTCCTTCCCCCCTGCCTGGCCCGCGCTTTCTCGCGACCGGCCTGTATTTCTTCGAGCACTTACTACACGTCCCCAGGCCCTGGTCGCGATCCAGCCCACCTGGCGCCACTCCTCCGACATGATGATGCCCCACCAGATGGACTTTGCCACGACGCCGCCGCCCCAGTCGGCGGGCATCGAGGGCTCGGGCCGCGGCGCCAGCAGCAGCGGCAGCAGCTCGCACCACCACGGCAGCCACCCACACCACCACCACTCCTACAACGCCAGCAGCAGCCACAACAGCAACGGCCACCCGAACGCGACGCCCACGCCCACTCCCGGCCCGCCGACGACGACCATGACGGCGTCGGGCGAGAAGCAGCGCCACATCTCGTCCATCAACCGCTCCCAGAGGAGCCGCGAGCGCCGGCAGGAGGTGCTCAAGCACTGGTACCCGTGCGAGCGTTGCATCAAGCAGGGCATCGCCTGCGTCCCGCCCCCGCTCCTCGACCCGACGGGAAAGCAGTCGTCGAAGCTGAAGCGGTGCATGCACTGCGCCTCGCCGACCATCAACTGCGCCTGCTCCACGGGCAAGGCCCTCTGGCACCAGATCCAGCTACCCCCCACCAAGAAGCGCAAGCAGAGCGCAGGGGGCGGCGGCAGCACCAGCGCCTACTCGATGCCCTCGGCGGCCACGTCGCAGGCCAACGCGTCCAGGGACCTCCTCATCAGCGGCACCCGCGCCGCCATCCTCAACGCCCGCACCGAGATGGACGAGAACCCGGAAAGCAAGAACCTGGTGGCCAAGCTCGCCCTCAGCAACATCGAGGCCCTCTTCAGGCAACTCGACCCCGACTTCCCCAAGGTTGCTGTCCCCGCCGAGTAAAGGTCGGCCCCGCGCAAGACACCGTACCCGCAGCGCCGTCCATCTGTCCGTCCGTCCATGCATCCACCCATCGCACCCGGTGCTTCGTCGTCGGCCTCGGCAGAGGAACGGCAGACTCCCGCAATGACCACGGCTACATCCGCTCCTGACATTGAACAAGGGCCCGCCGTCTAGCAAGGCCCTGCCTGCTGGGTCGGTGACGCTTTGAATTCGCCGGCATCCTGGACAAGCAAGGCGACACCCGATTCCATCCAAGCAGGCGACAGGTGCCAGGCAGAACCTGCCCTCTTTCGCCATCAAGGCGCAGCCTCGATCCAGCTCGCCAAGACATACCCCACGCCCGTCCGTTTGAAAGCCGACCGCGATACCATGGAAGAGGGGCAGGCCGACCGGCATGCAGGCACACGCTAAGGGCTCACGAGACCCAGCGGCCGTCGGGAGTCGAGTCGCAGGATCAAGCAAGGCTCGCGATGGGCGATGGGTTACCAGAAGCGAGAGGGTTCTGGTGGCCGTAGCACGCCGCGACATCGCCGAGACGCGCAAATCCGCCCCTCCCCCGTGGACCGACAGGTCGCTCTCGCCTCGTTCTCAGGGTTTCTCTCCACACCTCCGCCTCCCAGCCTCTTGCCTGCTCTCCACACAGCCGACCGCCTACCACCTGTACCCCTAGCCTAGCCTAGCCTGGCCTAGCCTTGCCTACGGCACCACCTCCGCTACCGCCTCCCAGCTGTACCTGTACCACCACCCACGCACGCACACCCGAAAGGCCGAATTTGATGCGATCCATATGCATGTGCCAGGTTGTTGCGCTCGACCTCGGCGAAACAGGTTCTCGAATCTGTCACTGTGCGGAGCGCAGCGAGGCTCAAGTATCGCTCGCGAAGTCGATGAGCAGACATCGACGCGACGCTGAGAGGCAGAAACGACTACCCGATGCAGCCGGCATGGTCGTTCGCCGTCAATCTTTGACGCCATCGCCGGCCACCAAGGCTCGAAGAGACGCGAAAAGACTCTTGACTTCGCGCGGGGGGGTTTTGATACATTTCAACCGACATTCGAGCGCGGGCGGGGAAGATGGGGCGATTGGATGGTACACAAGCAACAGGAGGCGGACGGGCGGAAGGTGAGAAGATGTGTGTGGGCGAGGGGATGCTCGAGCTGGTCGATTGCACGCGGAGGGTTGACGAGCAGAGACGCATGGTAGACAGCCGTGGCGGCGGGGACGCGGTGGCGTTCAAGACGATGCAGCGTGGCGCGACCGTTCTGATGGATATAGAGGGGGAGAGGGAAGGAGACTTGTCGATGTCGTTGCGCCGAGGAGCCGCCCATGATGAATCGGCCTTTGAATGCTAGACCGCCGCCTTTGACCCTAGCCCCGGTATCGTGCCGCCAGAAAAATGGTCCACGCAAGCGGCACAGTGGGCGTCGCGGGACCCTTTTCAGGGATCGAGTATGGGCATCTCTGGACCGTTATTGGCGTAGGCCGGATTCGACGCCCCAGAGTAGCGCTTGGTCTTGCTTCCGCCCTTGCGCCCCGGCCGCCTCTTGCGCGCACGAGGAGAAGGGTCAAGGGCCAGGGAATCGCTCGTCGTCCCAGCTTTATGCGCATGCACCGCCAGTCTGCTCAATCATGGCGTCGATCTCGTCAGAGTCCTCCATACCGAGCTGTGTGTGGCGCAGCAGCGAGCAGTGATAGGAGGTCCGGGATGCGTTGGCGGACGAAAGGTTAGTAACGTGGGAGGAAGCAACGAGGGGGTAAAGGGAAGGAGCGAGGACGGGAGGCACGCACCGATTCTGCCGTGTCGTCGTCGCCGATGCGCTGACCGTCAAAGATGAAGCGGACGCTGTTGACGGGCTTGCCCATCTTGTCGGCGTAGGCCATCTTTAGCTTCGAGAGCCGGGTGTTTTTCTTGACCTTGAAAAAGACTTCGTTTCCGTTGGCGTCCTTGACCTTGATGTTGAGCTGCTCGTTCTCGGGCTTAGGCTGCGGCTGCTCCGAGTCAGACATGGTGGGTGGACGTGGAGGGGGGTTGCGGGGACGAGACGGGGCTGTTTTGTGTTGTGGAAGAGGGGCTATCGGCTTGGTCGAGGCGGGCCGAGGAGATTGACTTGAGCGAGCTGGAAGAGGTGCTCAGAGGCAGAGGTGGGAGCAGGACAGTGTTTGGTGGTGGTAGTGAAGGTGGCAGGGACGATGGTGGTGGTGGTGGTGATGATGGAGCCGACGAGGGGACTGAAGCGGGACAAGGTTGGGATTTGGGTCTGGACGTGATTGCAGGCCAAAGGGCGGAAGGGCAGGCCAGGCCAGGCGGCATTCCGCGTGTCGGGCAGCCTCGACTTTCCGCCCTCGCGTGCTCCACTTTGCTCGCCATTCAATCTGGCTGGCTGCGTCCCCTGGCCGCACAAGGGGTGGCTGTCCGCATCCGCATCCGCACCAGATTGATTGATCCTGGCCGCCCCTGCCGTCCCGATGATCGGAACGCGCCGCCTCGCTGGCGAAAGAGGGGCATCTCACTCGGCCGAGCCAAGCCCCGCCCCAGACGCAGGCCAGTCTGGCCAGCCAGGCCAGGCCAGGCCACTCCCGGCTCCCGCGACGTCGGCCCAAAATTTCTTCTGGGCGGGGAGGCAGCGACAGGGTGCAGCACCTCGAATCAAGGTTGCAGCCCCCGCACTCGTTGCCTCCCCGTCAACGCTCCTCGCCGCCATCCATCCATCCGTCCGTCTGGTCACCAGCTCGACACCGCCACTGCCGCTGCCCGACAAACTCGCACATACTCTAACGCTCCTCAATCGTTCATTCGCGGAATGGGCCGCTCACCTCCCATGCTACCGCCATAGCCCACCGCCACCACCATGACCTCTGACCCCGCCCAGGTTCAAAAGGACCCGCCTCCACAGCCACCACCACCACCCTCCGGAAGCGACCCCAACATCGACCACAATGCCCCTTCCTTGGACGCGCTCGCCGGCTTGCCGTCCATAGACTCGTCCTCAATCGAATTTCTCCTCCCCCCCAGCCTCAACTTTGGCGACACTACCGGATCCACCAGCCTCGACGAGCAGATCCAGGCCTTCACCGCGGGCCTGGCAAATACCCTTGGCGCAAGCAACGACGCAGGCCACGATGCTTCATCCAGCCATCCTTCGGCGTCTGTAGCGGGAACCGCTGGCGATGCACTCGCTCGCGCTCAGACCGCCTCGGACGCTTCCGACCCGCTGGCTGAATATCTCTCTGCCATGCCTTCGATGGACGCCACGGCGCTAGCTACTCCTCACGAAGGACTCGATCCGGAAGGCCACGATGCCAACGCAGCCGTCGAGTCGCTCCTCGCTAGCCTTGGTCAGCTGTCACAGCAGAACCACCAATCGCAACAACAGGGTCACTTCCAGCCCGCTCCGCCTTCGACTCACCAGGCATTACCCGAGAACCCGCCGGCCCCATCCTCAGCCACGCCCTCTGATGCGCTCGATCCGACGTCGCCCGGATACATTGACGCTCTCCTTGCCGAAGCTTCTCGCAGCGCCTTTGCTGCAGTACAGTCTGCGGCTGCTGCTGCTGCGGGGCCGTCGCAGCAGCCCGCCCCGCCAGCTGCTGCTTCCAGCGAGACCTCTGCAGAACCGGTCTCCAAGGACCTTTTTCCATCGGCGGGCGACACGGATGCCTCCATCAACGCCAGCCTCCAGCAGTTCATGGCTAGCTTGCAGGCCAAGGTCACCTCCAGCCTGGCCGAAGACACGCCCGAGCAGTCGCACCAAGCCACTCCGGAGCTACCCGCGCCCGCGCCCACGCCTGTCCCCGCTCCGGCGCCAGCAACAGCGACACCTGCGGCAGCTTCGCCAATCTCGACACCCTCGAAGCCAAAACCAAAACCGAAGCTGCCCAAGCCCGCAAAGGCCGCAGCGCCGCTGAGGCCGGTGCCTGTTCCACCAACGAAGAGGATCCTGGGCAAACGCAAGCATCGCGAGATTGGACCGGTGGAACGGCGAAATCGGGTCGAGCGGGCGCTCACCACCTACCTGCGCGACATTGATCCTCTTGTCAAGCCCGGCCTCGTCACCGGACCCATCTTGTCGCCCAATGTCGGCACCACCAAGATGACGACGGTTCGCTGCACTCACGCCTCGGTGGCGCAGAAGTCATACGGGTCCGAGAAGCGCTTCCTCAACCCGCCGCCCATCGTGCACGTCATTGGTCCGCTGCGGCGGTACGCCGACTGGGGACCTGCGGTGGCGACTTCGCAATCAGCGCCCAAGCACGAGGCGGGTCCACAGTCGGGTGACCAGTTCGAGTGCGGGCTCAGCATGCTGGTCAAGGGCGAGACCGACGAGCTCTTTTCCAACGAGCAGATCGCCACGCTCGATAGGAGCTTCGAGACCAAGGTCAAGTCGCTCTACGTCACGCCGACCGGGAGATCCAAGAGCTTCCGCCTGCAGCTCAACCTGCTGCGGTCCACGTCGCCCGAGTCGTACGCTGCCTCCCTTCCGCCGGCCAAGCGTCTCAAGCTGGCCTCATCCCCCTCTATGCCCGGCACCATCCCCGGCAACGCCGTCGACTCGATGGCGGCAGTGATTGCAGCCCTGCAACAGGGGCATCCGTCGCCCGACAAGCAGAATGCGAACGACCACCTCTCGCGGCTGCCCGGGGGCCTGTCGTGGGTCTCGTTCGAGTCTGCGCCCGTCACGATTGTCTCAAAGTCGTCCAAGAAGACGGTCAAGCCGCGCAGCTCGTCGGCGCAGATCTCGAACGGGTCCATGATCTCGCTCTTCAACCGAATCAACTCGCAGACGGCGCGGACCAAGTACGCCCATACTGCCAACGACGGTAGGCTGACGGCGCAGAGCCAGGAATGGTCGGCCTACCGGGTGACGCTCGTATCGAGGCCGCCGCAGGCCGACTTGGCCGGCGCAGAGGAGGGCAGCGTCACCTACGGCTCCACCATCATCCTGACCGACATCACCTCGGGCGCCAGCACGGATCCGCTCGTCGTCTGCAAGGTCGACAAGGGTGAGGTGATGCTGCCTCAGATCGACCCTCCCGCCGAGATTGGGCTGGCAGGTTCCGGCATGCGGTCGCGGAGGATTCCGGTCAACATCGACCTGCGCGGCGGCGCGTTTGCCACCGACAACGGCCCCGTCTCGATGCTGGCGGCGCAGAAGAAGGACGGGCAAAGCGGTGCTGCGTCGGGCCCTGCAGGGGCCAACGGGAAGCCGAGCACGACGGCCGCCAACGACGCGAGCAGCACGCCCTCGGCATCAGGAGGTGCGGCCGCCGGCGCGGGCACGTCCTCGTCGGGCCGCAGCGTTGGCGAGGACCTCAACGTCTACGGACCCGTTGGGCAGCTGCAGAAGGTGGCCTTGATGCGTTTCGTCCCGCGATCCGAGACGGATCGAATCTACGGCGACTCGGAGCACCTCGAGTCGGACTTTACCTCGCCCCGGAGCTACCTATGCGCGGTGCCGCCGGAACGGTGGAAGGCAAAGGCGCCACCGGAGGCCGTGGGGCAGGAGCCGCTCGCGACATCTTACGTCAACGCCCACACCAACGGGCTCGATTCGCCGATGCTCGTCGATGACCTGGCGCCGTTCGACCACCACAGCGACGGCGACGGCAACTCGCTCACGTTTGTCAGCCCCAAGACCAAGGTCGTGGCCAAGGAGCACGGGCCAGGCATGAAGGTCGTCGACGAGGTCGACGATACGTTTGCCTGGTCCGTCATTGGTGTCTGTGAGTAGGGCGCGCGCGCGTCGTGCATATCCAACCGAAGAGGCTGCTTACGCTGCTGACCCCTGCCTGCTCTGCTCTTGCCTGGTGGCCCCGACAGCGCGCTTCGAGTTTTCATTTTTCGACACGAGCGCCACCGAGGCGTCCAAGGACGAAGGGCCAAGCGAGGTACCCATCGGGCCGTTTCCGCTCATCACGTCGATGCCGACCTACGACCAGCACACGCACACTCTCAGCTTCACCGTGGCCAACTTTGTCGTGCCGCGCGCCGTCGGCGGCCTCCTCGACCTGGGCGCAGGCGGCGGCGGGAGCGGAGGCAGCGAGGCAAAAGTGCCGCTCGAGGTGTGGATCGGTCCGCTGGGACCGTGTTCCTGTCAACATTCGCCCGTCGCGCCTCCGACGACGCCGAATACGCCATCCGCAGCAGCGGCGGCGGCGGCGGGGGAGGAGGGGAGCGAGATGTTGGTCAGCGTCAAGCTACCACCCGTCGAAAAAATGTTGACGCTGGTCCAATCCTCGTCGTCGTCGTCCAGCGCCACCACCACAGACCGGACGACCCAACCGACGGCGGCGGGGGCAGCGGAAGTACCTGCGCACTTTCTGCTTCCGCTCGTCTTTGTCAAGGATTCCGACGGGACGGCTTTTCATTCGGGGCGGCACGTCGTGTGCGAGGACCTGGTGCAGCTCATGCACGCCGCGGGCCACGAGGCCGATGCCGAGACCTTGTGCCAGCTCGGTTTCGGCCTGGGCCAGATTGCAGGTCCGCCCAAAGTCGGCGCTTGGAGCGTCCGAATCATCTAGCTGCGTATCGTCGTGGTGCGAGCCAGCCCGCGACGACGAGGTGTGCCGCGTCCGACGGCGCCTTTTCTGTATTTTTATCATCGAGCACCCGACGGAATCCCTGCCATCCCATCCCATCCCATCCCGTCCCATCCCCCGTGTCAGTGTTACTATGGAGCGCGGCGTAAGTTGGACCGGGTCAGTTGCACAGCGCATCGACAGGAGACGACATCGCGCAGGCGAGTCGAGTTGTTTCTGGGTTCCGGGAATCTGCGAACGCTGATATTCTGATTCCATGGACATCGAAGTCGAACGGCGGCCGGACCCGCCTCACAAGAGGGTCGAGGTGAGGCTGCGGCTAAAGCGACGCGGGTTGCCCGCGCTCTCGACAAACTTGGCGACAAAGAGCTCGTCGTTGGCCGCTGCAGGTTTATGGAAAGAAAGAGAGACGCGGGGTGGCGAGAGGCAAGAGGGAGGTCGTGTCAGATACCGGATGCCGTCTGGTGCACAGAGGCAAGGGAGGGAGGGAGACGACAAGGAACCAAAGGAAAAGGAGAGGGGACTCACGCGACCAGAGCTTGCGTTCGCCCTTGAGCTGCGCAAAGAGGGCGGCGGCCTCGGACGTCGTGAGCGGGTCGGACACGTCGACGGGTTCGAGGGCGGCGGCGTGGGCATTGGCGAGGTGGCGCTGCTGCAGACGGACGTAGGCGTGTGCCGCGCGTCCGAGGGCCGGGATGGCGTCGGGGCCGCCCGCCCTGTCCTGGAGCGCCACCTGCAGCTCTGTCGGGGTCGGGTACTCTGTCTGGGTGCTGCTGAGCGCTCCGACAAAGACGAGGCGCTGCGATGCAAAGCTGCCCTTGCCCTCGAGCAGAGCCAGGAGGGAGCGCGGCACGCCCAGCTCGTACGACTCGAGCGCCGCGTAGTCCGGGTCGCGGTAGAGCGAGGTGCGGAAGAGGGCCTGCACCTCGTCGACGGCCACCAGCACCGGCACCTCGGTCTGGCGGGCGAGCGTCTGGAGGATCAGGTCAAGCACCTGCTGGCGCGCGGCGGCGTTGAGGTTCTCGTCGATGCCCTGGCGGGCCACCTTGTCCAGCGTCGTGCCCGCCTCGAGCGTGGCGGACCGCTCCAGCTCGACGGCCTCGGCCGTGGCGATGCGCTTGAAAATGGCCTGGTTGAGCTGCAGCATGGCAGAGATCATGCTCCGCGTCACCTCGGGCTGGAGGTAGGCGAGCTGCGAGGGGCTGTACGAGTAGGTCGTCGACGAATTGATCAGGTCGATGGCCTGCGGAACGTAGACGACGGCCCACCCCTCGTCGAGCGCATACGACACGCTCTGCGCCAGCAGCGTCGACTTGCCGCACCCGGGCGAGCCGGTGAGGACGAGCTTATGCGTCTGCCCGCTCTTGGCCGCCGCGTCGAGCCGGTCGAGCACCTTGAGCGTCTGCTCGCGCACCAGCGTCCGCGGCCGCGGCTGCGCCGCCAGCTCCCTCTGCAGGTCGCGCGGCAGCCCAAAGTGCTTGAACGCGCTCAGCGCCTTGTCGTTCCACGCCAGCGGCTTGCCCACGACGGCCTTGGTGATGCTCTCGGAGCTGAACACGCCCAGCGAAGACATGTCCGGAGCGTCCTGGTGGAACTCGGACGTCTTGGACGCCGAGGGTCCCGCCTGCGTTTGAGCGGGGTGAAGAGGCAGAGCAGCGTTCGAGTTGCACCCGCAAATGATCAGCCTATCCGCTCCTCTGACTGCTCTCGCCTTCCCGCCGCGCCAATGCCAGCGCCGACATCGGACACTCACATCGAGACCGCCCTTCCTCTTGGGTCCACCCATGCCTCTGGGACCGGTATGGGTCTTTTTCTTGACAGTCGACTTCTTCTTTGGCGTCACGGCCTTGGCCTTTGCCGCCGACTGTGCCGCGGAGGCGCTAAAGCATCGCAGGGACGAGTGCGGCACCGCCGAGGCGAACGCAAAGGCGGAGCTGGTGCCCGTACTGGTGCTGGCGCTGGCGCCGGCGGCGATGCTGCTGGAGGATGCGACGGCCTGCTGGACGAGGTGCCGCGCGCCGCGTGCGAGCTGGTGCGACGCCATTCTCGTTGCCGAACAGAGGGGGCAGAGCTGTAACGTAAGGAGATGCAGCGGAAGACAACGGCTGGAAGGTGGCGGAACGGCGATCAGGTAGCGGGTGGGTCGGTCGCGGTGATGGTGAGCGAGTGTCTCGCACTCTGAGAAGATCGGGGGTCGAGAGGGCCCAACGCTCAGAAAAAACGCGGTGCTGCCCGCATCCGCCCGCCCGGCTGCCCACATCTCGGGGCGCTTCCTTCTAGCCCTTCGGATCCGAGGTATCGGCCACCAACGGCCCGCTTGCCTCAGCATACACCAAGACTCGAGCCCCTCTTCCACCACGGCCGACTCTGCACTGCAACGCCATCGGCTGGCAAACAACTAGCATTAGACAAGACGGTGCAGCGAACAAAGTCAGGACAGGCTTTGCGACAACAAAACAAGGACATGGCGCTCCAGCCTAGGCCTTGGCGGCCACCCAAATGGCGCCCTTGCAGCCGGCGGCCACGACGGCGCTGAGCAGCGCGTGGCCCGCCGCCTGCTGGCTCTCGTGCTCGACGGCCGTGTCGAGGTGCTCGAGTTCGTCGTCGCGGAACTCCTTGATGATTTCCGAGAGCAGCGGCAGTGACGGGTGCACCTCGTTTCGGGCCTCCGAGGCTGGAGCCGAAGCTGAAGCCGCAGCTGTCGCCGCTGCCGTTGATGGTGCGCCGTCTGCCGTCGTGGCCTCGGCAACCTGCGCTGATGTGACTGCGCCGGCGGCGACCTCTTGCTTCAGGATCGACGAGAGCGCGGCGAGCTGATCGTCGTAGTGCTCTCCGATGACCGTCTCGACCGCCTCAGTGCACGCCATGGCGCTGCGCGGGCCCAGCAGGGCAGTGACTCCGCCCAGCACGCGGCCAGCCACCGCCCACAGCGGCAGCAGAGCGGAAGGCCTCACGTTGTGCTGCCGCAGCAGCACCCGCATCACCTCGAGGTGCTTCTTCTCCGTCAACCACATCTCTCTCGCCATGTCGCGGTTCTTGACGTCGCCCAGCGCGCCGAAGACGTCCGCCTGCCCTTCGTAGATGGTGTTTGCCGCCACCTCGCCCGAGTGGTCGACGCGAAGCATGTCGTCGAGCGCGCGACGCTGCTCCGGCGTCAGCGAGGCCAGCGAGGGAGTTCCCGTCGTGGCAAGACCTGCACCGGTGCCCTTCGTATAGGCATCAGATGCCAGAGGACCCGTGCTGTGGCTCGAGTGGTGGCGCATCTGCATCTGCATCGACGAGATGGTGGACAGGGGCAACGCTGCCTTCGATCGGGGTGACCTTGCGGCGAGCGTCGTAAGGCCGCGGCTGCCGGCGCCGAATGCTCCCGACGACGGCCCGGACCTCCTGGCCGTTCCCGTCGTCGAGCCAGCCTGACGCATGAATGCGTTCTTGGCAAAGCCCAGCTCGTTGATCACCTCGAGGCCGGTACTGCGTGCCCAGATCGTGCCCCTGGCGATGCCCTCCTTGGCCAAGCCGCGGAGCAGGCCATCCTGCTGCATCTGCCTTTGTCCGCCGTCGGCCTGCTGGGCCAGGGGCACCGGAATGCCGGCAAACAGCCAGTGGAGATGGTCGACGGCCGACAGCATCTTCTGGTTCTCCCAGTACCGCCGGCGCGGGTAGTTCTTGAGCGCGTTGAACGAGCCGAGATCGGCGCCGGCCGCCTGCGCCTCGTTGAGAACCTCGGTCAGGCATCGCACGTCGGCTATACCCAGGTTGAGGCCCTGGCCCGCCAGAGGGTGGATGGTGTGCGCAGCGTCGCCGACCAACGCGGTCCTCGCCCGGCCACCGCCCTGGCCGGCGCCCTCGGCGGCGAACCCAACGACCGACAGCGCGCCGGCCAGCAGGCCCGAGATGCTGAGGGGCGAGCCATTGAGCGAAGAGCCGAGGTAGGCGTCGGCGTGCTTGAGCTGAAGAGGAAAAGAGGCGACGCTCTTGACGTCGACGGACTCGACCTTGGGCGGCACGTCGCCCGTCGACGACTCCGGCAACGGGGCGCCGCCACGCTCGCTGAACTCGAACTCGGACGGCAGCATGTCGAGGACCCAGGACCAGTCACGCTCGCGCCCCTCTGCCGCAGGCTGGCGGGCAAACGAGACGATGCTGGCGAACAGCCTCTCGAGGTGCGACCAGGGCAGCCGGAAGGCAGCGTCGACCAGCCTCGCCAGCGGCTCGACGGGACTGCCGGCCGTCTCGCGGTGAAGCGTCGTCAGTGCCTCGGCCACTGCGGGCTCTAGAGCCCAGACCATCGACCCGGTCTGTTCGCTCAGCGGAAGGAAGGCCACCGTGCCGCTTGGCAAGAAGCGCTGCCACGCCGTCTTGCCGACAGGCGGCTCGCCGACCTGCGGTCCTGCGCAGCGAAGGGTCCCGACGAGCCCCTTGCGGTCATAGGGCCAGCCGTAGCTGCCGATGCCGGCGTACATCCGGACCGGCGAGTTTGGCCCATCGGCGCCAATGAGGAGACGCGCCCGAAGCAACGCGGGCTGTGCAGAGGTACTGCCCGACGACAGCTCCAGCACCGGCCAGGGGTCCCGGTCGGCTTCGGCAGCGTTCAAGTGCGGCGCGTCGGCAGCAGGGTCGAGTGCTTCGAGACCCGGGACGATCCTCTGGACCTTGCTCTTATCGCGGATCGCGACGTGGCCGCGGCCAGCGCCCTCTTCGAGGTAGCGCAGAAAGGCCTGCTGGAGATTGGAGATCTCGACCATGACGCTGATCTGAGACGAGCCAGACGAGCCGGCAGGTCCAGTCATGACGTCACGGAGCTCGGCCGAGTCGAAGTCCAGAGTGGCGCCGGACAGGCCGTCCCAGACCCGCATGGACTCGATGGGTCGCAGGCGATGTTGGACAAGGTAGCGGTGGACGCCGATGTCTGCGAGCGGGGGGGAAACACGGAGGCGTCAGAAGTGGCGACAAGCCAAGCAGTGAGCCCACGCGTGCACGAGAGCACTCACCTCTGAGCCACTGCATGTTTTCGGAGGTGAGCGAGATGACGCGGTTCTCCCAGTCAATGTTGTCCGAGTGCGACGAGGGGTCCTGGTAACGCTGCTGCTTGTCGCTCGCCCAGGCGCGCGACCTGGCGAGGTCGGAAGCCTCGACCAGCGCGATGCTCGGCGAGGCTACGCGGGAGGTCGTCGAGGCTGACGGCGAAGCACCCGCAGTGCTGGCCAGGCCGCAGGCAAGGGCGAGGCCGACGACGCCACCACCGACGATGACGATGTCGGCGTCAACGACAGTCGAGTCGAGGAGCGGGGATGTCACCGCGGCGTGGCGAGGTTGGCCGGGCGAGGCGGTGGCATAAGAGCGGACCGAGGAGCAGGCTCTCAAAGGTGCTGATCGCGAAAGAAGGGCACTCGACGTAGAGGCGATAGGACGGCCGCGGGTGGTGGTGATGCGGCGGCCGGACGTTGGGATGGCCTCGACGCCGGCTCGAGGTGTGCGCAGTGCGGCGCGAGCATGGCTTGCAGCCTGTCGAGCGGCGAGCCTCGTCATGACTGCAGCGGCGATCTTGGGCGCTCGCTGAAGGTGACAGCTGGTGTTGGTATTGGTGTTGGAATGGGCGCAACGTGGTGGTGGTTGTTGCCCTGGCGAACGTGTGGCAGCAGCCTGGCTGGAAGAAGCTCAAGCTGGAGCTGACAGGCGGGCCGGCTGCCAAGTGGAGCGCCTCTCGGAGCCGCTCAGCTAAGCAGGCAGGCGAAAGGAGGGTCAGCTCGGATCCGATTTCGCAGAACGGGCCGGATCGAGTCAGGCCGAGCTGGGCCAAAGGTGGCCGAGGGGCGCGGATCGCCAAAGCCGAAGGCGAGGCAGTCCGAAGTCGGCTTTAGGCACGGCGGCAGCCCACGGATGCAGGGTTCGCTGTCGGACCACGGCGCACCGACGAGTCACGCCCTCTCGTCGTTGGCCTGGGCCTGCCATTCCTAGCTTGCCCGCTGTTCGCGGCGAGTCACCTTCCGTCCGCTGCTGCCGCCGCCGCCATCTCGCTGCCTCGCACAAAAGGAGCCAGAGAAAAGGAGCAACCGCCGGTCCTGGCTGCGGCAATGTCGTCCGTACGTGCGGCCCTGCCATACGCCCACTCGTCCGTCGCATTTCGCTCGTTGTGCCATCCTAGGCCAGGTCAGCAGGCTAGCTGCGGACGACTAAGCGGTGGCGACGACAAAGAGAGCGGCGGTGGCGGTATCTGACACGCGCAGCAGACGCCCGCCAGCAGCTCGAGCGCAGGAGAGGGAATCAAGGCCAAGAGAGGAGTGTGGAGGCAGCGTCGAGGCACCAGAGCAGTCAGAGGGGCCGCCAGATCGGACGGAGCTGTTCGAGCTCGATTCGAAATCGCAGCCTTTTTCCACGCCGGCCTGCTGATAGCGGCCCATCGAAAATCGCCCAGCCAGCGCCAGCGCAGAGGGACAGCTGGGCGGGCTCCTCTGCCCCGCGGCGCCCGCCCATC